TCTCCAAAAAATCTATGCGCCATGTCATAAAAAATGAATACTTTAAATTGTAAATGAAACCATTTTTTCTGGGATCGCTTTAATAATTATAATGTTTTAACCTATAAATAATAATAAATAATGATGAATGTTCGAGCTATACGTTTACATTCGATTATCAATAGATAAATACGTGATGAATTAATAATTATATGCATATATATTCAAAATGAAACTTCGTGTATAAGATAACGATGCAATATGTTAGTAAAATAGTAATTTTTAATGACAAATTATCCATGCATGTCATTAGATGTTTATAAAAATCGATTTCGAAGACTGGTACAAAAAATAAAAAAAAAAATAACAACTATTATTTGGAACTGTATAAAACAGGACATTAGCTAGTAGTATAGTTTTTAATTAACAACATTAGAAAAATGTGTAATAAACTAATGGGCATAAAATGAAAACGAAAAAAATTACTACTGATGGAGTTCTAAATTAAAATTAATAGAAAAAAACTAAGCAAGTTTCTGAACGAAAACAAAAAATAATTCTACTTGTTATTGAATCAGACAACGTTAATAATAAATTATTATATATATATTATAACTATGATAAAAATTATTGGATGAGTGAAAATCATAAGAATAGTATTAAAGTATTATTGGTATTATGCGATAATAAATTGATTATTTAAGATAGAGTGCAAAACCAGAACAAAAACATTAATATCACACAAGAATTTCGATTGATGTCATCACAAATTAACATAGAATTAATAACAAATTATTTCTCAACATCATTAATAGGACCTAGTTTCTAGTAAAGTAAAATTATTATTTATTATTAGAATAAGTTACGGTGTGTAAATAGGGTCCAAATATTTTATCACAATAACAATAAAAAAATATTATTAATATTTGAATATTTTAAAAGGGCTAAATTGAACCCTAGTTCCAAAAGCATCTCGAATCCCAAATTATCTTAATTCGTTGTAAATCGATTTAGCCGACCATTTATACTTCACCTGATTTCTCATATTTCACGTATATGTATACTCTATCTATACTCAAAGCATTATTTATAAATAAAAAATTATATCAACAAAGCCCCAAAGACAATTTTAAGGAGTTTTACAGGCAACTTAATAAACATACTGAAATATATTGAAAGACCTCGACCCGCCCATGAGATATTTTACTTCTTTAGATTGGAGCAATTACAATTCCTTTATGTAATTAACCTAACCTTTAATTAACCTTAAAACTTTGGTTGTAAAAAGTGTAAAACCAACGTGTATTCTTCTGATACTTATATAACTATATTAATTCACATATACCTCAACAACATTTATTTAAATTAACACAATATGTTATACGAGTATTAAACGAAATGATGTATTGTCCTAGGTAACCAAAAAGTGAAAAAAATAATATACATCGAACCACATTTTTGACTTTTAAAAATTGTGATTTTCGAGAAATCCTTCTTCATTATATATATATTATACATAATTTTACTTTGCTAAAAATAATATTATACTGACAAATATGTAGACGATATTTAGAAAAATGTGTGTACAGTTATAATTAAAATCAGTAATTGGTATTTTGAAATTTTTCTAAAAATAAGTGATATTAAAATATTATAAAAGTTACATATAACGTATGAATTAATTTTTATATTATTCTATAATTATTATGAATACAAATGAAGAGTTGCCTATAAAAAAAAAAAGGTAAACGTAATTTTTATTTTGTCAGTTCATTGATAATTTCTTCAATTGTTATTAAATAGTTTTTATTTAATGACTAGCTGTTGCCCGCGTCCTCCGCCCCCGTGGATAGTTGTTTGCGAATTTTGGAGTTGTTACGTGGCTTCACTTATCCTGTCTATCTATCTTACAACGATTTTATTTTTTTTTATATAAAGAGCAATTTAACTATATGCAGAGTAGAGTAAAACTGTTATATACATCTCATATTGTAATATTATCTACTCGACAATACTGCACAATGGCCCTGAGTAATGTATTCATAGAAATTAATGAACGTAAACGTTAAATCTGTTCCAAGATGGTATATTGCACTCGTTATCATAACAAAAGTGAGAACAAAAAAGTATTGATAATACGAGTAATACATGCATATTTGCTTACGATTCGATATTTGCAATGCAAATTAAAAGTATCTTGCTAACAAAGTAATGAGTTGTATCAATCTAACAACTAACCTGATATGAACTTGACATGTGATAGGTATATGATAAAAATTTGTTAAACATGATTTATCAATAAAAACATGTTTATAAACATTTAGGTAACATAACAGCCATCATCTTTGAGTACGTAGTATAAAATACTAATTGTAAATTTGTACAAATTATGATAATGATTCATTCTGATGTTTGTTAATTTTCTGAAACAGTTGGGTAAACTATGTTTCATGTTTTGTTGTTAGGAGTATGTATGTACTCGTACAAAGATTGTGCCGTATCAACTCGAGAACAGGCAACGTAAAATTGGCCGTGAGAAAAGCAGGGGTTTAAAAGGTTAAGACCAACTATTTTTAAACATTTTCCTTGCGATTTACTAATAGTTATTACTGTAGTTACATTGATGGGGCTACTCGGTGGTGCAGGTGCGTCATATTTCTTAACAACCCTGACTGTGATTGAATATATTATAATATTGACCATATTACAATAACACTAACAATAAAATTACTTTTGAGTTCTAGTGTCGGATTAAAAATAAATCGTATTGTCTAATACACTTAGCGGCACTGGAGAAAGAGGATTTAAATACTCTGGAAGTATTGATTGTACTTCTATTTGGAAATATTGAGAAAAAAAATGTAGACAAGCCATATTGAACTGATCCCATTCATAAAAAAGAACAGTTGGCAACTAGAACTTTTGTTGTTCTAGTAAAGGATATCAGAGTGCTTTATCTTAAATTTCCTGTTTCTGAACAGAAAAAATACAACAAAAGCATGCCTAGTAAGTATTTGAGTGTTTTTTTGGACCACGAAGGTCCTTCGAGAATCTTGGCTGTTTATAAAAAAACGAAGGTAGTCCAGTAAACTCTCGTGTGATCATATAACCGAAGCTAAAGGCTTTGAGCTTTTTGACATTGATGTTGAGTTGATGAGAAAAGAAGTTGATCATATTGATGGATTATCAAATTAATTTTTCAGTACATAAATATGTTAAAACGTATAAGACCACAAGAATGGTTCCACGATAAAAATAAAAATATCAGTGCAATGCAATTTCAATTTATAGATTGATTTATAACAATCCATTATTTCAATTTATAGATAATGGATTGTTTGTATTCTATATTTATCGATTATCTTCTCAAATTATTACTATACAAGGTGTTTTAACGACCGAGTATGTAATACTAGAATGGAGACCGGATCTAATTCAAGAACTTTTATATTATCTTAGACCTGAAAATTTAAGATTTACAGTTGTTTCGAAAACATTTGAAGACCAAACTGATTCCGTAGACAAATATTGCGAAACATTATACACAATTAGTAAAATACCAACGGAGATCCTAAATGAATGGCAAATAAATAATTTAGATATGCGAAGATTTAAAAATGCCATCGAATAATGAATTTATTGCTACTGATTTTAGTCTAGTACCCAGTCACAAAGATGAACGAATCTTTGATTTTAAGATCTTGGTTTAAAACAGTGGTTTTCAACCTTTTTCACAATGCGGCACTCTCCATCTCCTACAAAATTTTCGCGGTACACCAATCCATATAATTATAAAACGTGAAGCATATTTTATTTATAAAATATATATCCATTTATGATATACATGAATAGGTACACTGTTAACAATATACTTTATGAGAGGGTTAATTATTGTGAAATAAATAAACAAATGAAAAAATAAACGATGAAAAAATGTGTAAGCAGAAATATTTATTTTTTAAGATAATGTTGTTGTACAATGAAATAAGAATACATCGATTAATGAGATATTTGTGCTTGACGTGTGTTGCACAAGTGTTTTATTCGAGGACGAACAGTCGACAAGCTCACTCTCAGTTCTTCTTCTTCGGATCGAAGTCGTTCTCTTTTTTTACTTTTTATTGTTGTGACTTGTAAATTGTTATTGCTTTTAAAGATATTTCAGGAAATTCTGCTTGAGCATAGATCCAAAATTTGTTAAGGGTCATTTCCTTAAATTTTAACTTCAATGTACGATCATTTTTCAATGAGATAAGATTATCTTCTTCGGCAAATGTTAAACCAATCACCTTATTAACTGATACACTGAATGGATTCCGCACCCAGTCATAGTCTTCAACATTTATGCTGGGAAAGTATTTTGTCAATTTGTTTTTCAGTAACATGATAGATTTGCTTATTAACGATACTAGGTTGGCTTCAACATCTCGCTCTGCAGTTCGTGGGAACATGGTCAATTTTTTTTGGTTAACTTGAGTTTTCCACAGAGTTGATTTTTCATTAAAAGTAATAATTTTATCAGTTGATGTTAGGATATTTTCGTTACTACCTTGCATGATTGTATTTAATTTATTCAAAAGTTCAAAAATATCAGTTAAAAAAGAAACTTTTGCCCACCACTTTTCATCTCCAAGAAATTCGTATTTCTATTCTTCTATTGTTAAAAATACAATTATTTCTTCACTCAAATCATAAAAACGTGATAATACTCGGCTTCTTGATAACCATCTTATTGCACTGTGAAAAATTAACTTTGAGTTATCTGAATCCATACCTTCACACATTTTTTCGAACAACCTTGACTTTAGTGAACTACTTTTAATATGATTTATCACTTTCACAACTTGATCCATAACTTCCCTTAAATCACCTACCAATGTTTTTGTCATAAGGGCTTCTCTATGTAGAAAACAATGGGTGAAAATTATATTTTCATTTTTTTTATTGGCAAAAGAAGTAAAACCTTTGACTGAGCCAGTCATCGCGGGAGCTCCGTCGGTACATACTCCAATGCATATATCTCATGGTAAATTTGCAAATTTCAGATAATTGCCGACGATTTCGAAAATGTCTTCACCTTTAGTTGTCTCAGGAAGTGTTTTACAACACAAAAAATTTTCCACGATGTCTTCGTCGGAAACTATACGTATAAATACCAAAAGTTGTGCTTGTCCACTTATATCAGTTGACTCGTCCAGTTGTAATGCAAATAATGGAGAGTCACAGGATTGTTGCAATACTTGTTCTTCAATATCTTCAGACATGTGTTCAATACGCCTACTAATGGTGTTGTCAGATATTGGAATTTTTAATACTTCTTTTTCAGCTTCTTCACCAAAAATTACTTTTACGATTTCACGACAAGCAGGTAAAATAAGTTTTTCTGCTATAGTGTGTGGTTTCATTTGTTTAGCTACAAATTCTGCTACTAGATAACTAGCTTCTTGAGTTTTATCAGAAATGGTCACAATTTTTGTCATTTTTTCAGATTGTCGTGTTTCTGATTTTAGTAAACGTTGAAAATATGAAGCATTTTTGTCGACCAAATGAGAATGCTTGGTGGAAAAATGACGTTTTAGTTTACTTGGAACCATTGATTCATTGGATAGTTTTTCGCCACATACTACACACCATGGACGTGGATCATCTACATTACCAGACCAAGAAAATCCTATGTTTAAATAATCTTCATGATATAGACGTCTGATATTTAATTTAGATTTTTTCTTTGGTTGTTCATTCACCGAAGTGGTACCAGTAGAATGAATTACAAATTTATCCATTATAAAATGAAATATTCCGCAACGCCACGTAAACCAATCGAAACGACTGCGACGGGCATACTAATATTAAATATTATTACACGTATCTACGATTAATGATTTAGCCTGTCTTGTTACTTATCAGTTTTCACCGAACATCGATAATAATACTGGTAAATACAAAATTATAAAACTAGTTATTAATAGATTTATCGCGGCACACTTCAAGGGTGCTCGCGGCACACCGGTTGAAAACCACTGTTCTAGATATTCAAAACACACATTTATCAACGATCTGGGAACATCGAAAGTCTTGTCGGATGGTACGCTGGCTAAGAAATATTATATGAAAATCAAGTTTAACCGATTTTTTGAACAAGAAACGAAATACGTGAATCAAAGGCGTACAGCAACACTGTCAAAAGTAAGTGAAAACGCGCGTTTATTAAAATGTTTACATTTATATATGGTTAACATGCTTGTATAATTCAATAGTTGAACGTTTGACAGTTAATTTTCTTCCTTTTAGATCTTGCATTTCTACAATGCATCAGTAGACATTTGCACCACTAAAATGTATAAGGTGGCGACGGAGACTCAGGGTTGCATGGACGCAATACGATCCATAACCATTTGTAAGTCATTCGTTGATACAATAAATTCGATCGAATATTCAAGTATGTTTTAGTTGTATTATCACTTTAGTCATAATAATATTTTTATTGATATGACCGGATTTCGAGTTTTATAAAAATTATTTTCCTCTTTCCCTGTACTCTACTAGAATGGAAGACTGTTTTTTTTACCTTATCATCAATATGACTTGCGTGTGTGTATTTATTATATTTTACTTATAGTGTCCAGACTTCCATTTTTAATGAAATTGAGCTTTTCGAAATGGTCTGATATCCGGCAGCTGTCTACTAAATCGTCGAAACTTCAACTGAACATTACGCCCTGCAAGTCGAGGTTGTTTCACGATTCAAAATATGCTTTGCCCACGGTGGAGTTCTCGATTGCGCGCACGACTCTGCAGTCGACCAGTTCCGGTGGAACTTCGTGGGCGTTGTGGGAAATAAAAGATGTTGTGACAGAGGCCATTGACCTCCTCATAAGAAATCTTATGCGACCCATAACCGAGTTTCGGAACCAGTTACGTGTGATACACGGTAACCTGCAGGCTGTATTTTTACTATCCCACGGCAAACGGAATACAAGACGGTCTTAACTATTTCCTTTTAGACAATTTTCCATTCGCCTCGTTCGGAGAATATTTTGCACTTCATTACACCCAAAGACAGTTTGAACATTTACATCTTACCGGGGCAGTATAATTTAAACCACCCCACCTACCCTGAAAATTTTGCTCTGGCTTCCCTCGTATCACATTAAAACTACTTAAATTAACGATAAAACGTAAATTATGTATCTCCAAATATGTTCATAAATATATTGGTATGCCTACTAAATTTTAATTTATTTAATCAAAATGTACATACAAAATGTTTTATACCGGGACACCGCCCGGTAAGTGCTTACAAGCCGCCAAAAAAAAAAAAAAAAATGAATGAAAATTTCCAAATGTAAAATTATTACTGTTGCTTGGGAAAGTTGATGTTTATTCAACGAAGTATAGATTGGTTGTAAAAACTATTTGCATTAAATATTTAAAAACAAATTTTAATTATTTGTTGCCAACGAAACAACTATTTTTATATTAACATTATAATAGTCATGATATTTTACTTAACAACCAGGTACTATTTAAAATAAATTATACAGAAAAAAATCAAAGGAATCACACGTGATGGTAGTAAATTATTTACATTATACGAACACTTTGATTAAATACGCAAAGTATAATTATGTTAAATAAGAACGATGTAATATCTAATGATCTTAAGGCGGCTGGAGCGCTGCATGTTTTAAGGAATAATATTTAGGCAATTCATATTACATGTACATTTGGAGTGTATTGATGTGTGAGTAGTAAATGAACATTAGTGTGTGTAATCCGTTATCGCATTATTGTTATTATCTGTTGTCGCAAATGGCCAGCGACTAAAATACGAATTCCCGGAACATACGCCAATGTGCTAAGCGTGTACCCCAAAAAAATAAATAACGAATATATCATCAAATAGGTTTAAATAATTAGGTTATACTATTATACGGTAATATTAGGGATGGCGGAAGACACGTACGACTCGGGCGACCGTATAGGGCTGCACATTTTTTTTTTTTAATAAATACTTAGCGCCGGCTCTGGCCTTATAATATCAATTAAAATTTTAAAATATAAATCATAATTACCTGATCAATAATTAAGTCTTTTGAAGGTTCATTGGTATTTAATTTTCTTAAATTATTTAAATTATGAGGTTTTTTCCGGTGTGCAGACAACTTTGGTCGAATCTTTTTACGTCTACAGTCCCTCATTTTAATAATAAATGATTACAATAAACTTTTTTGTCTAGATTAGTTCAAAAATTGAATCAATAACACGTTGTAATAATACTCATAAATTCATCGTTCATCAATACTTTTGATAACCGTTTGTAGAATGAGATATGATACAATATTATACTCGTATAATAATTGTAAATTGGAATCCACAAAACAAACAAAAATAATTTCATACTGTGATGTGGCGCTATCGCTTATAATATTATTATTATTATAGTCAATACAATTGTATGATGTGTACAAAATTAGTTTTATAAAACCGATGCGGTCGTTGCGCGTGTTTTCGCAATTTCGAGAACACATTAATTCTCATACGCGCATGCACAAGTCAACGACAAACGCATGAAACTATTTTTTTGTTCTTTTCAAATTGGTGAAAAGAGGTAAAAGCTGGAACAAAATTCGTCTAGTTCTGGTAATCCGATTATATATTTTTTAATATATTCTAATTTCTCAACTTTTCTTCTATGTTTTGTAGGAAACGGATTTTTGATTATAGTTCAAGTTATTTAATAAAATGCATTCAAATTTTTATTTTTTTTTAAAAATTAGCATACAAGTTAATAAAAAATTAAGAAAAAATAATAAAATCGTGGTTCCTACAAAACATAGTAAAGAAGCTAACAAATTTAAATATTTTTTCAAAATTTAAATCGGACAATTAGAACTAGGTGAATTTTGTTCCAGCTTATTGGTCCAAATGCATGAAAAATGTAGGCTGCTCCAGCCGCCTTAAACATAGAATTTTTCGTTCGGTGCACACGTCTATCGCAGTCAATACGGTTTTCGTTGCTCTAATACAGAGGTCGGCAACCTTTTGAACCACGCTGGCCATATTTTTTTTTTCAAATGTTTATCAAGGGCCACATTAAAAAAAAAATTTTTACATATGATATATACTAATAATTGTATTGTTATTATATTTGATTATTTTATATAGAAATTTGAGTGTAAAAAATACGAACGTTACTGGAAAAAATTGGTTTTAAGAAAAAATTTAATTTTTTGACAAATTAAACATAATGGCTTACCTTTGTTTTCGACGAAAAAGTATAAATCAACCCAAGGATTATTAAAAAAAAAACGATGTTCATTACAAATTTTTCTTTTTTTAGTCGCCATAATTTACTTGTAAAATGAAATTGTTACAAACGCAAACAGTCACACGTACGGGCGTAATCACGGTGTAATACTAATCGCTACAAACGCAAAGTAACTATGACCATAGATTAAATATTTAAAACACGTATGTATTAAATACATAGGTTAAATATATTTAAAATTTTAATTTTTAAATATATATAAGTATATTTAATTTATCCTATGACTGAGTAGTGCAGCCATCATTATCTTCGACTCCGATCAGATAATAATAACAATTTTATAGATTAAACTGACTATATAACTACATAGAATAAACGACAACTATTAACGGTTAGATTAGGTTTTATTAACAAAGAAAAAATAATTGAATAGTATTGAAAATTTTATGGATATTTCATTGAACAAAAACAAAACACAAAAATTAACCACCTTTGTTCGGACCATAAAAAATTGCTTCGCGGGCCACATGCGGATCTAATATAATAACGCGGAGTGTACGTTGTTACAATATATACGGTCGTGGAAAACAAAATATTTGTACTCGAGGTACTTAACCGAATGAGAATTGCGAGAACCGAGCAGTACGTATGGGTACACTGTACCGAATCTCGTCGTAACCGATGTGTGAAGATGTACACGGTATTTTCTCGTTCTTCGCGATGTTGTTGGTTTTCTAACCGTTTTTGTACCTCAAGTCCGTCTAAGGACAATAACGTACAACGTCTTGTGCCGCTGACGCCCTTCTACTCGATCTTACGTTTTCCTGTATCGAACTGAACGTGAATGTATTTTCAAACACGATACCAAATAACGTATTGTTACACAAGAGAATTCGTTTTTTTCCCGAAACGGTATTTTCCGAATATGATTTGCAAACGATTAGATTTGCACTTCTCGTTTGGTGCAAAAGTAAATTGATTGGATTCGAAATTTATTAGCGGAGATTCATTTCATTAATCTAAAAAAAAAAAAAAAAGCAAGAGATTAGCTAAATAATAGGTTTATATATATAGTGAGTTAGCAAGTAGACCATGTTTAAGAATTAAAGAAGCTAAAAATCTTCCCCGAAGAAATAATAACAATAGTATTAGTAGCGAATGTGTTTTTTTTTTAGCGGTTCAAGAAAATAAAATAAAATAAAACAAAAATCCTATAGCAATTTTTGCTAAAAGCTTCTCAAGTGTCACTCGAACGGGACGTCCAAGTGGATATTTTATTGGAAATATTCAAATACAGACCTCTTTGCGAACTGTTTGTATTCGAGGTTATACATATATTCTTTTTGTATCATTCAACCGATCTCTGTTCGCATATTTTATACTCGCGCGCCGAGACACTTTGGTACACATGCTTTTAAAACGCGATTCGAATCAGCTCTGCCCGTATCGTTGAGATGCGCCCGTATCGTTGAGATGCTATATGGTATACAATACGCATTACGCACCGGTTGAATATCGCACCTAAGTGTTTTCGTGCACGCCAAAGGAGTGGCGGTTTTTATCACTCGCCAATAGGGGGGACTACTTAAATTTCAAAAATGTAGCTAGTCGTATGGGTCTATATATAATTTTAATTCACAGAATATGTCACTCGGAAGTAAATAATTCTTTTTTTATTTTAATGTATTTGTTTCACAATGACGATATTTAATTATAACTGTTGATTTATCATAATTTTTATAATACTTAACTTAGAAAAATAAACAGCTCAGCTCCAAGAGGGGAGGGATGTTGCCCTCTTAGACACCCCCTTAAACCCGCCCCCGCGCCGAAGCGATGTACTGCTCCAATGATGCGTTTGCCGTGATAAAGTTCGTCACTCTATGTTCTCGAGTAGTAAAAAAATAATATAGAGGAAATCGGTAGGTACTGTGATTTTATATGATTATGTAATGCCCAAAACCTAAATTTGTGTCTCGTATTATATTTGTGTTTATAGTCAACAAATGCAATCGTATTTTTGCAAGGCTCGACCATACATTTGGTCTCTCATTGGCCCCGCCTAATGAAATATTTTGGGGCTTTCATCGGATCATTTGGATTTCTCGAGATGGTATTGCTAGAATATCTTTGGAAAACCCTCTTCATAGTGATTGGCCGTATTTATTTGTTTATTTATTTTTTTTTTTTTTTGCTCAATAAATTTCTTGTTGTTATGGAACCCGGAAACGATTATGTTAAATGTTTTAAAAATTCTCAAGCTATTGTTGTTTCTGAGAATCAATATAAATCGCAGCTACATTTGTCTTGTCCGCATAATTATCATATTCTATTATATCAATCTTTCAAACGACTGTATAATATTTTCTTGATATTTTTCGCGAACAATCAAAGTCATACACGATGGAAGCCATTTGTCAACGTGTTTGCCTACACGTGTTTGGAAATTGCCGTTGGGGGAACGAAAACCAATTTTTGGACGTCAACTACACTCGCAGATTTTTTCGGAAATGCTGTCTCTGTGAAGCCAAACGATCGTACTCGAAGATGGCGCGATGTATAAGTACGTATGGACGTTGATTTTATTGAAATGGTTCGAACGAGAGGCGAAGAGTTGATTTTTTCCAAACCGAACTTTGATTACGTTTCATCGGAATTGTTGAAACGACAGTTAATATTGCGTTTATGCGTGTATAGGATGCGAAGCGTACGTCCACAAGGAATGCTTTTTAGTGGATCTTTGCAAAGAAGATGACGCTAAAAGAACCAAGGTCGGCAGTCCCCGTAGAGCGGACGCAAAAGAATTTATGGACACCAGTAACGTAGAGGTCGACGACAGAGAAGAAGAGACACACGATTGTATTATAAAAGGCCGCAAAAGATCCGGTTCGCAAAACGCCAAAGTGAGTAAAAAATATCGACGAATAAGCCCTTTATGATTGAGGTCGAATGTTTCTTACGATTTGGAGTTTTCATGATCATCACATGGCATCTGTAGCGATTACGACGGTTAGTTTTTGTGATATCAGAGCGTCAGTGTGACGAACGATCGCAAACGTTTTACCATTTTTATAACACTATTGCGAACGAAGGATACGTAGCCAAGTTTATATTCTTCTAGATATGTAAATATTTCTGAATTTTATTTTATTTTAGGATTTAATTAATTTTTTTTTTAGTAAAATCTACTCGATATTTATAATATTATTTTACTATAATTATGTTACAAACTAAAATGAAATGATTCAAAATAAGTTTTTAATTAAAAAATGTTTCTCGGTACAAATATTAATAATGTATAATTCATAAAATACTGTATAGAAATGAAAAAAAATGTCACAAAATAATAGTTTTGAATAATACTGCATATAATACTGCACGTCTATACGACACGAATTGGTTTTTCATCAAATTAATAGAAGTTTGGGAATAATATTATAGTTAAATGTGATGGTATTTATTCTATATCTATTTTATCGCTCGGCGGAATAGTATAGTAAAACCATTGTTGTTAATCTTATAAGATTCGATTGTTTGAAAATAAAACAAAATTTGGACAAATAATATTGAATTCATTAATTTAATATCGGTCCGTTGCGATAACAAAAAAAAAAAAAGCTCGTCAAAGAAGTCCAAAATAGTGCAGAGTTAGTGGTGGTAAAGTAAATCGTTCGCAATCGCGTTGCGGGAAAATATGCTTTCACGATCGTACATTACCCGTATTCGTACGTTTAAGGATCCGGCTATAATTAGAAATCTATGACCGTGCGCTAAGACTCGTGTATTTTTCCAGGATTTGTTCAAAATCTTGAAGACGCGCGTTCGAGGTAGCCGTGCGACCGACATGGAAAACGCGGTCGACGACGGGGCGACGACGAGTGCCAGAGCAACGTCGAGCGACCGTTTATCGGTTCCGAGTGCGTCGGTATCGCCCTGGAGATCGTCGTCGAAGCCATCGCTCGTCCCCAGTGGTGTCGAGAATAATTTAGTTAAGAATAATCCAACGCCACCGGCGGTGGTGCCGAACGGACCGGAAGTGATGCGCGTGGACGGAAAACCGAGAACAAATCGCAGGCAACAGCTGTACGACGTGATCGCGACTATCGCGGCCGACCGAAGGGGCCGGTCGAGCGTCGTCACCGTCGCGGAGGGACCGGTCGGTCGTCCTGTGACGGCGAGCGAAACACGACGACGGGACGCTTGCGACAGCCCTGAGGCGAACGGTGTGCAGCCACTGCCATCGCTAGACGCATCAGCACGGCCATTGCTGTTGCTACACGCGTCCCCGCGGCCACTACCGTTGTTACACGCGTCCGCACGCTTAGACGTGGAAAACGCGATCAACGAAGGGGCAACGACGAGTGCAGGAGTAACGTCGAGCAGCCGTTTACCGATTTCGAGTGCACCGGTATCGCCCTGGAGATCGTCGTCAAAGCCATCGCTCGTCCCCAGTGGCGTCGAGAATAACCAAGTTAAGAGCAATCCAACGCCATCGGTGGTGGTGCCTGACGGACCGGAAGTGAGGCACGTGGACGGAAAACCGATAGCCGACCGCAGGCAACAGCTTTACGACGAGATCGCGGCTATCGCGGCCGACCGAAGGGTCCGGTCGAGCGTCGTCACCGTCGGGGAGGAATCGGTCGGTCATCCGGTGACAGCGAACGAAACACAACGACGGGACTCGAGCGAAACACAACGACGGGATGCGAGCGCAGGGCTGTCAAGCGACAGCTCCAAGACGAACGGTGCGCGGCCACTGCCGTTGCCACACGCGTCCACGCGACCATTGCCGTTGTTACACGCGTCCGCATGCTTAGACGTGGTAGAAGACGACGGACGACGCGAAGTACCGTTCGACGTCGGTTCGCCTGTTCGCGTGCCCGTAAAAACGCCATTTCGTCGCGAGCTCGTCGATCCGGCGCGGCCGCCTCGGGCGGATGATCTTGCGGCCAACGCGGTGCGCAAGGCGCTGAGAATAGAAGAACAACAACGGTTGAAAGGGTTGTTCGAGTGGATGGCAGAAATCGACTCGACGAAACGGAACGTGGTCGTCGACAAGCGATCGTCGATTGACCCTCCGGCGAGCAATGGACGACTTGAGGCCAGTGACGGAAAGTCCGGTCGAGTCGAGAATGACGGCGTCAAGTCCGAATCGTCTGCTCGCGAACCCGGTGAAACACCGTCGTCTTGGATCGAGACGATCTACAACTCCGCGGTCGCGAACCGGACGGTCGAGGATGAAACGATCGTCGTGGGCGGAACAACAAACGCCGAGGAGAAACGATCGGGTGAGTTGTTCGCGAGGACCATCGAAGTGCGACCGGTCGAATCGAAGCCGTCGGAATGCGTCGTCGACGTGGAAGCGATCGGAGAGGACATCACGACGTCCGATGCGCGCCTCGATGACATACCATCGGTTTTCGAGTCAAACGATCCCGCCGGAACGTCTTCTTGTGCCTCAGATTCCGAGTCCATATACAGCTATCACACCGCCCTCACAGGTCCAGCGTTATCCACGACGGGCGAGAGTGACTCCAATGAACTGTTGAGCACCGAAGAGACGCAACGGTTGAGCAGTCCGGTGGAGCGGATCATGGCGGCAAAACGCCCGAAACCCGCCTCCAACGAAACTGGACCGTTATGCGTTATCATCAAAGAGGGATGGATCGATCGTCCCTTTGACGTTCGGAAACTAAATCCACGATTAACACTATCCAGACGTCGTTTGTAGTATGGGCCCGTTTCGCCCTTACTGCAAACGTCTTGATCTCTAACACCCTCATATCGAAACGAATGTTTGAGCATGATTTAATCGCAGACCAGTTCCCTACAAATTTCTATTGTAAACCTTTTACATTTGTCGTCGGTCACGTGTTTTCCAGTGTACCGGGCGTAAGAATTTATGTTATTTCATTTTCTCAATAAATATGCTTATACATTTATTAGTATTTAAATAATAAGTAAATATTAAACAACTAACAATTGTTTCTCTGTGATTTGACCAAACCATCCGTCATGGAGCGATCATTTATAATATAAGAAAATCATATTTCGGTCAATAAATATTAAATAATACAGAATTCTGGGTAACTATGGCCCGTTCGATGTGAATTGTAAATCGTCGGTCTCTCACTTAGGTTTTGTTCTCAAACAATATATATAACAGTATGCATACATATATGTATATATGTATATGATTATAGTCATAGTGCTAAGCACCGGTTTATTACCTAATTATTATTATTATTATGTTGTGTTAAATAATTGCTTGAGCTGGAGCTGGAGCGTAGCATATTTTAAGGAGTAATATTTAAGCATTTTATATCACATGAACATTTTGACTGTGTCAATGTGTGAGTAGTAAATGAACATTAGTGTGTGTAATCCGTTATCGCGTTTATCGTGCCACCGTAAATCGAATTCCCGGAACTACAATAATAATCAAAATGAACATTATATTCATTTGCACAACTCCACGTTTTGATGATTCAATATTATCATAATATAGGCAATAGTTTGGACAGTATAAGACATTATAAATAATACTGTGGGAGCGCATATAAATCTGGACCGTATATATATATGGAATTTAAAATCTGGATTGTATAAATATGGACTTTATTTATTTGGACTGTACAATCGGATGTACAAATCTGGATTTTATATATACATATATATTATTATTTTATTACTTACCTAACCATTTAAGGCTGCTGAGAGCTGGTCGTTTTTTCGCAAATTCGAACAAAAAAGCGGAAGAAAAATTCATCCGGTAACGAAATCCTGATTTTAATTTTGAAAACACATTTGAATTCTTTATTCTCTTGTCTATGTTTTTTAAGAAATAATTGTTTTAATGTATTCATTTTTTATAAGCATACAGTAAAAGAAAATTTTAAAAAATATATATTTGGTACTATGATAAATAAACGGTATAATATTTATGTTATAGCTAGAAATACTACAATTCTTAGAAATATTCTAGCGTCCATACGCGCATGCACAATTCAATGTACACAAAGAAAATACTTTTGCTCTGGCTATAGGGCAGAAATTTGATGCAAATAGTACCAATAGAGAAATAAAATTTCACCTTGCTTCGAGCGACTTATATTAATTTTAAAAAGATGATGGTATTCGTTAATTTATTTTCTAGGTTTGCTCGGAAATAGATTTATGACTTTATTTTTAGTTAATAAAATATGATACATAGTAAGTTTATATTTTTTTTCAAAATAAATTTATACTTGACTTAGTTTTATATAGTAATGCAATTAAAAATATAAGAATCCACTTCCGAGCAAACTTAGAAAAGAAAAATACAAATCAAATTTAGTATTAAAAATTTAAATCTAGCAACTGGAAGTAAGTTTTATTTTCTTTCACTTAATGATCTAAATGTATAAAAAAAAATGGTTGCTCCAGCCCCCTTAAAGCTCGTTTTTTCTTTTATCATAAGACAAGAATTGTTTTTTCATTGTGATAGATTTTAGTCATGTAAATGATAATTATATTTTTTTTGCAGTAACTCCTATAATAGTTTCATATGAAATACTACAATCAACAAAGTATATAACATAGTTTAATTATTTAGCTGTATTAGACATACCAAAAATTAAAATTGTGGACATCAATTTGCGTAGTATAGTCAACAATCAGTGACGCTGAAACCTAATAAAAATACTAGGGCAAAACGAAAAATTACCGGCCCTTTAGAGACAAGCCCTAGCGTAATGTAATAAAAATATTTTTAGTTTTCGTTTATCAATGTTAAATATTCTACAAAAGTATTTAATTATTAGTATTTACTGATCATATGGCCAGCTTAATCGCAGATAATTAAATAAAAACATAAAAATGTTTATTAATAACATAATATTTTATATTTTAACTATACCACAATACAATTTACAATTGTAAAACATCCAAAAAACTTAGAATTACAAGTAAATAATCGATTGATAAAAATATAATACAATTTAAAATTTTTTTTAATTTTTAAACATTTCTTTTTTTTACAATTAATATAGATACAAGTAATTTTTTTAGTATAGAGGACTTGTTGGTGAATATATCTAGAAAATATCAAATACATTAAGAATAAGTAGTTATGGGAGGAAATCATACAGTATATGCTAAATCCGTCTATCAAAACATATGGTACAACAAAGAAAAAATAAGTTTAGAAGAACCAATTTAGTGCTGTCAGTATTAATATTATCAAACTTCAAGAACATTATCTGTGATATGTCATAGATTGTTTACAATATTTTTATTTTAATGTGATTTATGAACTTTTTTATAATGCCTACATAAAAATACTTTAAAATAATTGTAATACTTTACAATCTACATCTAGCTTAAAAAAATAAAATATTTTAAAACCCTATAACACACAGTTAATGTTTTTTCTCTCAATTCTGATAATACATTTGTTAACTCCAATATTTAAGATAACACCATACAATTGTTCTGCTGGAAGTAGATTTTCTATATTGTACGTTTGTAAGACGAAGACAACACATGCAAGTATGGCGTCCTTTTAACAAAAGTAATAATAACTATAATTAATAACTTTAATTTAAGATGTTTTTAATAAAAGTAAAGAGAAATAGAAATAATAAAGCATATAATTTAAATAATAAATAAAATCAAAAATGTACATTGAATGTACACTTAATGCACATTTAGTTTTATGAAATTCTTAAAAAGTTTTAAATTATTAAGTATTGAATAAAATTTTAAAAAAAAAATCTGGGGAGTGGAAACCTCTTACAACGCCCCCCCCCCCATAACTACGCCACTGCGTTTAAGTTGCTTAAGATTGGCAAAATAATTCTTGTACTGAGCGCTAAAAGAGCTAAAGCCGGCCCTGGTTGAGTGGTACGTGCGGTAAATTGTGCACGCGATGAGTTGTAAATGCGGTGAAATGTTGACAGTGCATTAATTGCAGTGAAATATCCGAATACCCTTTTATACTAATCCAACGCTCACCACCCTAAGAGTATATCCTAAAACCAGACTTCGAACTCCAAATTCGGCGCCACTGGATTTGGAAACGCGTTATAATATCGCTCGTGCCACAGTCCAAATAAAACCTATTTATAGAACCGTTTTGTCGACTCCGTGTGATTACAGCACAGTTATACCTTGATAACAGCACTAACAATGAGCACAAGTTATCACAATCGTTTCTATTATCAGCAGTTTGTATTCTAACTAGTGTTATTATTTATTTTAAAAACAATTTTTTTTCTCTTCCCGTAGTTAGATGAACTCGGAAGTCTAGCAATTATATTTTAACCACAACTCCGATTGTGCTGTGTCGATTCGCCATATAATGACGTTTGGGTTGTTACGTTTCAGTTTGTACACCAAACTAAAATTGCCCATTCATTGTCGACATAGTTTTACAGTAAACATCCCTTGTAACGGCATAAGAAAGCCGCTGTTCAACGAAACTGTACGATGGTTGAGCACCAAAAACACTGTTCCGAAGCAGACCAAAAAATTATTCTCTGAGTCTAAGGTTCTCAGGCTGTATTCGCTCGCAAAACCGGAAAAAAACAGACTTATATGCAAGTAGTAGATTTCCATATTAGATCAACATGGAATTAGTTTCAAAACTGATAAGGTGTTGTTTATTTTATTCCTTTAGGTGCTGTATGTTTTCTATTAGTGTCGAGTGCCGTTACTATGGCCATTCCATTTTCCTTCGGACGGATTGTTGACATAATTTACAAGTCCAATGTTTCAGAAGCTCAAGCTAAACTGATCACAATATGTGCAATACTGCTACCCGTGTTCATAGTTGGTGCTATGTGTAATTTTGGTCGTATTTATTTAATAAACACTTCTGGTAAGTATATAAATAAATATATATTAAAAAGTAGTTAAATATTTTAACATTTTATTTTAAAAGTTTTGATTTGCATATAAAGTATGGAACTGGTCAAACTATTAAATATCTGTAATCAGATAAATTTTTAAATCATCTTTAAGCATTTATTCTGTTTACTGTTCTTTCTTAAAATTATAATTTCTTAAAGTAAACTGAATTTTCTATATAAAGCTGTAAAAAAGAAAGTATTAGAATTAAATTACATTTTATTACAATTTCTGGCTAAATAATTATTTTATTTTTGATTGTGTATTGTTTTATGTTGAAAATATCTATAATGGCCTACATTTTTTGTTCTACTTATTAATAATAAAGTTGCATAACATAATCACTTAATGACTGAAACCTATTATATATTTTTGTTCATCTTTATATATTCTTGTTGTATTCAATGTATTAAAATTTAACAGTTATTTCCTGATAGCCCATGTTGATTAAAATAATTAAATTCAATCAAATGTATCAAATTTAATTGAAATATCATTTTTGACAAATATTTATATTCTAATCTATTATACAATTAATATGTATTAATAGTTTTAATTTTTTTATACTCCAGGTTACAAAATAACCAAAAGACTTAGAGAATTATTATTTAAAGCTCTATTGTCGCAAGAAACAGCATACTTTGATCGTCACAAAACTGGAGAACTTATTAATCGACTATCATCTGATTGTTTGCTTGTGAGTCAAACTGTAACTACTAACATTTCTGATGGATTACGTTCTACTATAATGGTAGTCAGTGGCATTTCTTTTATGGTAATCTAAGTCCTAAACTAATTTGTATAACATAAATAACTCTTATTTATATTATGTGTTTAGTTTTTTGTATCTCCAAAATTAGCTTTGGTTGGCTTATCCATAGTACCTCCAGTTGCTGCCTTAGCTGTAATTTATGGACGTTTTGTGCGAAAGATAACACGATCTGTGCAGGTACATAGTCATATATTATTAGACATTTTTATTTATTTGGGTTTTACTCAAGTAAATAAATAACTTTTGGTAGTTAATTCTAATTATATAAATTATTTTACATACTAATGTAATATTAGTAATAATTTAAGGAGTAAAAAATTATTAAGTATTAAATATTCAGGATTCATTAGCAGCTTCAAATCAAGTGGCTGAAGAAAGAATATCAAATATCAGAACAGTAAAAGCTTTCAGTCAGGAGAAAAAAGAAATGGGTTATTATGGAGAAAAAATGAACGAAGTATTGCAACTTTCTATTAAAGAATCATTAATGAGAGGATTGTTTTTTGCTATGGTTAGTGCATATAATTATTTAATTAATTATGATACAAATTATGCAAGTGTAGTATAATCATATTTTGCACATATTTAAAATTTTCATCATCATGTTGAATAATAATTAAGTATTTGTTATTTTGTTTTAGACAGGTTTTTCTGGTAATTTCATCATTATATCAGTGCTATATAGTGGTGGATTGTTGGTTAGTGAACAAGCCATTAGTGTTGGTGAACTGAGTTCATTTTTATTGTATGCAGCTTATACAGGTGTGTCTATTGGTGGTCTATCTACATTTTATTCTGACATCAATAAAGGTTTGGGTGCATCATCTAGAATATGGGAAATCATTGATCGTAAACCATCCATACCTATTTCCGGTAAAGTTTTCAACATTACTATTCAATGACATCAATATTATTTTTCAAATCCCAAAAATAAATTTATTTTATAGGTGGGTTAAAACCATTAACTGATCCTAAAGGTGATTTAAGTTTCCGGAATGTTGTATTTAACTACCCGAATCGACCAGATGCGCCCATTCTTAATGGTCTGAACTTAGAAATACCTAGTGGTATGGTGTACGCATTAGTTGGTCATAGTGGTAGCGGGAAAAGTACATTAGGTCATTTATTATTACGACTTTATGATCCTCAAAATGGTGAAATTTGTTTAGATAGTACAAACATAAAAATGTATGATCCAATTTGGTTACATAGTCATATTGGAGTTGTTAGTCAAGTGAGTAATAATAATTTTATTTTGTTTTCTTAAATTTATATACTTATTATTATTTACAGGAACCAATTTTGTTTTCTGGAACAGTTAGAGAAAATATTGCTTATGGTCGTGAAGACTTCACTGAAAATGAAATAATTGATGCAGCTAAAGAAGCAAATGCATATGAATTTATTGTACAAAAGTTTCCTGAAGGATTTAATACAATTGTCGGAGAACGTGGTGTTCTTTTATCTGGTGGCCAAAAACAGAGAATAGCTATTTCAAGGGCATTACTAAAAAATCCTAAAATTTTATTATTAGATGAAGCTACAAGGTAACAAATTATCATCATTGTTAATAATGTTAATTGTTTTATTTTATTTATTTAACTAATAATTTAGTGCCTTGGATGCTGAGAGTGAAAAGTTAATTCAAGAAGCATTGCAAAGAGTTTTAAAAGGAAGAACTGTATTGACCATTGCGCATAGATTATCAACCATTAAAAACGCAGGTACCGAAAATATATTAATCATTCACTTAAATGTAACAATATTGAACATATTATGTAATCATTATTTAATTGGAAATAAATTATTTTAATCAATCTTCACACCAAAAAGTTCTGTAACATGTCTTCTTCTCCTTCGCCTTTCTCCCAACTATTTGAGGTCGGCCATTCTTGTCCCTAACCTCCACTCGTTTCGATTTTCTACATCCCCATACGCACATACAAATGGCCCTCACATCATTCTCGATTGTATCCAACTATCTTCTTTTGGTCTTTTTCTTCTTCTTTCCCTTCAATGTTTGTTTTCATAACAAGTACACTACATTTGTTTCTTCTCGTCTCATCACTTGCTCAGACCATCTCAGTCTATTTTCTCTCATTATGTCCATTATAGATAAGTTCTGTAATATGAATAATTTTCTACTTGTTTCAGATAAACTGGCTGTACTATTTAATGGAAAAATCGCTGAATTGGGTTCATATGAAGACTTAATATCATTAGAAAATGGTGTATTTAGAAAACTTAATAAAAATCAAATATTAACAAGTTAAGATTGATTATAAACAAATTATAAAACATACACATGATGTTTTATAAATAAATGTACAATATATTATTGTTATTGTTATTGTTATATAATATATTTTACCAATTTGTAAAAAAAAAAAAAAACAATTAATATTGTTATTGTTATATAATATATTTACAGATTTGTAAAAAAAAAACCACAAATGTATTTATACATTTAAACACAAAAAAATAGTTAAAAAGGAATAAAAATAATTTATTTTAATAAATTTTGTTGATAAACTTTTTTAATAATATCCTTGATTATAATTATAAATATTACTTATTTTTCAACAATAACATCCTTGTATGTATTGATTATATAATTTTATAATTGATTGTATATAAATAACCAAAATTTTAGCGCTTATAAAAGAAATAATTTGTTAAAATCTTACAAAATAGACTAATTAAATTATAATATTTGGTACATGAACACTTCATGAATTATTTATTTTATTAAGAAAAAATTATATATTATAAATAGTAGATCATAGACAGACTTTTTTTTCCAAAATGACATATGAATAATCACTTGTTATATTTTTAGGTATTCAACAAATTATGTTACTCTTATATTTGCTAGTAAGATATTTGACCTTAGACAATTTTAATCCTTAAGAAATATTATTTCCTAAATTATGTTATATATGTGTATTAACTATACCACTTAACAGTTTAAATTAGATAATTATGAAAAGTACTAATTATAATATTCACTGCATAAAGTGCTATAAGAAAATATACTACAGCACTGACCAATTTTGAAAGTACTTATACGAACATTTTTTTTTTTTTCAGAACCCTGTTTGCGCATACATATTTTACTCAATTTTAGATTTGTAAATTATTAAAAATCTATTTAGCAACGGTAAAAATAAAAATATATGAATAGAGTGATGATAACAATTGGCATAGTTACTGTTCAACATACAATCAGTGACTATTACATATTAAATATATGTATTAGAAAAAAAAAAAGTATTCAAGAATAAATAATAAATTTACCGTTATATTATTATTCAACTCTATTTATGGTCAGTGATTTGGTTTTCAACAAGACTTACGAGAAGGAATGGACCTTTAAACAATCTGGGAATCGACTAATGTCATTTTAGGACAAGCGACGGTCACTTGTCAGAGGAAGAGCTTTCCCTGTCTAATTTAAAATCATAGTTTAAAACCAATAAAATTGATTGTCAATTATTTCGACTAGAGCATAAATGCGTTGATTGCATTACTTTTGAAATGAAATGAGACTGTACATTGTTTGACGGAAAGGATATGGATGAAGTGGTAAAACCACTTGTTTCACGATAATAGGTACTCGTCATTTAGAAGTGTCATCGGTGACGGTGCTAGAGTTTGCGAGGCCCTGAGCAAAATAAATGTTGGGGTCTTATAATTTATATTAATAAAATATTTTAAGTTAAATCAGAACCCTGGGGCCCTGGGCAACTCCCCTATTGCCCGCCCCCTCGCGCCGTCCCTGAGTGGCATAACATCAATACCAACGATTTCTGTAAATTATTTTTTACACCATATCGCCAAGAACTACGTAGGATTCGTATGAAAAAAAAAAAATCATCGAAAACCCGTGGGGTAACTAGAATATAATTCTACCGTTAACGAACCGATGGTCGTGGCCACACGTCTTACGAGATGACTGTTAACAACTCGAACAAATAATCGAGAACCGGTTCGCACGCCGTTTTCAATTCCGCGTGACGTCATTATGATCTTCGCGGCCTTCGTGACGTCAACGCAAACACCGTTCTCTCCATCTCGGTCTCCTGATATTATTATTACTATGTAACAAATAATCTCGCATTACTATCATAGTTTTAGTCATCACAGCTGTGTGAGTCACAGTTTAATTCTGTGGTCACAGGCTCCCGTTACGAATGTTTCTCATATCTTTCGTTCGCGGCACTAAACTCTAGTTGTTTGTCGATCCGTTTACGTGGTCTCAGTGCCAGATCCGAAGCTGTACTAGAGACGTTGTTCTAGCAACGCATGAACCGCTGTTCATTATGAACAATTATTCGACGAACCAACATCAGTACTTGAACCCGGTGAGTACGACGATTTGCACGTATAGAACTATTATAGCACGTCCTTCGATTGGTACATAATAACTTGGTGGTTTTCGTGTTTGCAGAACGTTCCGTTTTGTGGCCCCATACAGAATGGCCTCATGCCGGGCTCGGTGATCTCCATCCGTGGCAGGACCAATTCGTCGTCTCAGAGGGTATGCGTGAATTTACAGTTAGGCCCTAGTGTGGCACCCCGAGATCCCGTCGCCTTGCACGTAGCCCTGGACTACAACCGCAATCTGATCATCAGGAACAGCATTCAAGGGCAAAACTGGGGCGTCGAAGAATCTCATGGTCCGCCAGTATCACTGGTACGAGGTGATTGTTTCAAACTGGACATACTGTGTGACATGAACGAGTACAAAGTAAGTTGCATCTTAATCTTGAAACGATATGGAGGTTACAGGATGAATATTATAATATATACGTTTATATTTATGCTTTTTTGTAGATCGCATTTGCAGATGTCCATTATACTGAAATGAAGCACAGAATGCCTTTTCAAAGTGTTAAATATATATCAATTGATGGAGATGCTATAATATATGTTATAGAAATTTTAGACCCAAAGACTAATACTACAACGCCGATTGGTTTGCCTGGACTAATGCCTATGCCAAGGCCATCGCCTATGCCTGGACAAATGCCCATGCCAGGGCAGTTGCCTATGTGTGGACAAATGCCCATGCCAGGGCAGTCGCCTATGCCTGGAAGCCATATACCTAACTATACGCATTCAGCTGGAAATACACCTATGCCTGGAATTCCTCCTGGTTATGTTCCACCTTATACTACAAATAGTGCTTATCCTGGCCAAACTCACAATTCACCTTATTTACCGGTAAGTAACATATATTAATAAATTAACTAGTCAGATTATAATTTAATTAAAGTGTTCATAATTTTCAATAATAAGATTATCTCTTTTCCTTTTTACTTTTGTTTTTTTCATGTTAGGTTGGCAAATTTCTTTATTTCAACTATTAAGCGTATTGATATAAGATATTTTTTTAAATAATTTGTTTGAATGTTTAAAATATTATTTTAATTATTTTTCTTTTTATTTCATTCTGTATGTGTAATTCTTCTAAAACTGAATGAGGAGCAATTTTCATATCTTATTTTAAAATTAATATTTATTTTATATATAGTATGTTGCAATTACATTTAAGTTTATATAATCCAGCATTTTCAATTGAAGGGAAATTTTTTTGTGAAGTTTTTAGTTTGAAAAAAATTATCACTAGTTTTAAAAGCAATTATTAGAGTATTCGTATTATAGTTTAACAAATTTCAGCAAATTTGTAAAATATATTATTTTGATATTTCATACTACAATAGTTAACTTATTACTTGATGAGTTGCATTTATTTTTTCTTAAATATGTTCATGGATTATTTTATTAGTATTTAAATTAAAAAGATTTTTTTTTTTTTTTTATTTAAAAGGCTTCAAATAGAAATGTTTATTAGCCTATTTTAATTTGCCTGTCTAGTGGTTACATTAGATAACAGAAAATTTTATTTTAACATTAACATTTATAATTGTATTTGTATATCGCTAGTTGTTGTGTGGTGTCGTTGGTACGTTGTCTTATATATATGCTTTTGAGATCAGCCTGATGAAATTAGTTAGTTTTTTCTTGTCCTGGTCCAAGTGCGTCTTTGAGTGAGCTGGTGTTTATGTTTGCTTTTGTTCTGAAATTATGGTAAGTGGGGCAGTCTAGGAATAGTTGAGTTCACAGTTACATGTTTCGTACCTGGGTTTGAGCTCCTTACGCATTAGATAAGAATGTGTAATTCTGGTATGTCTGATACATACTCTGGTGACCATGGTCATGTAAGCTTGGCTAGTGGGTTAGACCATTTTTTAGTTGTAGTTTTTATTTGTTAAAGTTTATTGTTTTGATTGGTTTGTTTTTCCTATCAATTCTGCCATAGAATGTAAAATCAAAAAGATTTTTATGGGATATATTATAGGTAATATTGAGTTCATGATGATAATTAGGTTAATTTGATGAAATGCATTAGAGCCTATAGAATATTGAACTAAAAATTATATTTTTTAAGAATAATTCTATTATATGGATTACTTTTACACAGTAAAATTATTTTTTCTGATATCTTATAATACTTAAGCAGAACAGTTAGTATCAAAAAATTGCTGACCGTGACATATAGAGGTGCTTTGGAGCACCAGCAAAAGATCTTAATAGCCCAAAAAGCAAAAAAAAATCTAATAATATTTTTTTTATGTGTCCAAAGTTATATTTTTACTTTCATTTATATTATATATATATTTACTTATGTTAATATTATTACAGTTATTATTCTATATTATGAACTAATACAGGGAGCTAAAATATAATTATATTTATATTGTATTGATTTGTAATTATAAAGGTATTAATTTTATTATGTATTCATTTTAATTGTAGAAACATACTAGTTCACCAATTAAAAATGCTCTTAATCAAGGATTGGCTAACTATGCTATGACTGGACATATTAGCCCTGTAAGTCTTATTTTATATTTTATAATAGTTAAATAATATAAATTGAATAGTAATACATACTGCATAAAATTAATATTCTATGTAAAAAAAAAAAAACAACTTTATAATAACTTCTTAATCTACTTTACAAATTTATATTTTACATTTGGAAACTAGTGTTCGTTTATTATAAAAATATTAAATTGTAAAATATTGATATTCATTGTTATAATGTAATTTGTTTGTTGATTATTATCAATTATTTATTAATTATTAAAATTATTATTTATATAATTATTATTATCTGTGTCTGTAATAAGTAAATATTATAAAAGCATAGTCAATTTATATTTGCTAATAATAAATGAAGTTGAATTTATTGATAATATTATTTTTTTAATTGTTTAGCGTAAAGCTGCAAAAGCTCAAAGAAAGCAAGCCAAAAAAGCTTTAAAATATGGTGTTCCTATTGCCGGAGTTGCAGGAGTTGGTGTTGGAGCCTACGCTATGCACAAAGCACATAAGCATAAAGGATATAAACACAAGAAAGGATCCAAATCTTCAAGCAGTAGTAGCAGCAGCAGCAGCAGCAGCAGCAGTAGTAGTGATTAAATGAAAATGAAATTGAAAATGTCATTCACGTGTAACTAATTTACTGGGTACTGATTTTAACTTTAAAACTTAATTATGTATTTGCCTAACACTTATATCATTGATTAAATATATATATATATATATTGTATATTTAATCAATGCTTGTATTATAGTATTATTTTCTTATTATTTAATTTAAAGAAATGTAATAAAAGCGTATTTTAAGTTTAAATTTATTATTGATATTTATTATTTGAAAAATTAAATGTTTCGTTTTATTTTTTGTTTAACATAATTTGGTTGGTGTTTATGATTAAGTAAAAAAATTCTGCTGTTGTAATTGCATTTATGTGATATCAATGGCTTTTATGAACCTTCAAGTCACCTGTTTTACCTGATATATTTGCATATTTAATTAAAGAAACAGTAACAAATATCTGTAAAACTAGATTATTAAATTTTACTGTATTTTCAGTAGGGTGACGTGTGACAGGTAAAAAAAAATATTGCAGCGGCGGTTTCAAGGTCCTAATAACAAATAATGTATTCGTAAACTAATATATGCATATTAATTCATACCTTGTTTTTATACATTATTGTAAATAAGAAATAGGTAAATTTTTATATTGTGTGGAGCATTATACTATTGGTCAATTTCATAATTATAATTCAATTTTATTTTTTTTTCATTTATTATTAGTTACTATCAGGAATAATAATACCGTATATCTTAATTAGTTGTTACTACAGTACAGTTTTCAGAGAAAGGGGAGGAATTACTCCGTTCTCCCCTAAATTACATTCCTTTTTTCTTCTAGATGAGTCAGTCATAAGTCAATGAGACTAAGATGATGATTGTAAATATTGTAGAAATTAAAAAGACTCACAATTGTCATTATTGTTTTGTATATATATCCTATTAAATGTATTAATATAAATTAATAACATTGTAGTATATGATTTATAAATTATTAAAACGTGTACAAAATAATAATAAGCATAATTTCGATGTTTTGTGCGTCCACTGGTTACAAAGGTACAATGGTAGCAACTGTGCTACCCCACTCATAATAAGTTATCACACAAAAGTTATAGAAACTATTAATAATACTAAAAAAAATCTCTAAAGTTTATATATCATACATTTAAACTAATTAAAGAAAACCAGTGTAATTGTGTACCTTTTATGATTGGGATTATTTTAAACATTCATTCTATTTGGACAATAAATAATTGTTTTAATTGTTTTTATAATGTATTATTGTAGAAATAACAACGTTTCCTTTTGCAAATTTATTTTTCTTTACATTTACTTTAATCAAGTTACCTTTCAGGGGGGGGCTTAGGGGCTGCACCTCCTCCCCAAGCCCGTATCGTATTTATAAAAAAAACGTATATTGTTAATAAAAAATACATATTATAATATGGACTATCATACGACACGCACAAGTACGTAGATAGAGCCATAGAGGTATGACGGTTGAAAGAAGTTGCTCCACACTTCGGAAACTAAAAACCTGACTTCGTTCAAGGATGACTGTGGATAGACTATCAGCATTATGTCTAATTATTGTATATCATAAAGTAGATATTCTAGATCAAATAAATCATATTATTGATATTTTTGCTAACTTTAAAAATAGACAACTTCAATTTGTATTGAAAAAATTGTTGTTTTCTTTTTGTTATAAAATTATAACTTGCCCCCCCCCCCCCCTAATCAAGGCTCTGGAGCCGCCCCTGTTACCTTTGGATCCCACCTATACACACTCACATTTTTTTAATAATATAAATACTTTTTGAACTATTTTTTCAACATTCGATTAGAATTATATTTTTTATACATTATTTATTTCATACTATATTCAAAAATCCTTCGTCAGTTACTAGTACTGTTTACGACTGGTTTTCTTCGAAAACAATCAACACGGCGTAAAGTATAGGCAAACTCAGTACGTAACTGTGTAGGAAAACGGATACGAATATGCATGAATGAATGATTTCATGGCCGGCGAAAGGCACGTGCGATCATTTAGAGCGATACATTTTTTTGAAATTTTAGATGCGGCATCGTTTATAAATAAATATATGTATTTTTTATTATTACTTATGTTTAAGTAATAAGTATATATAAGTAAGAGGATACATGGGCGCAACTAGAGCCCAAATATTGGGGATGCTGGAAAACTAACAGGAGTGCTAAATTTGAACTCAGGGATACTAAAAACCCTATTGCGCCTCAAACTATCACCTTTGAGAGGATACCAATACCAAGTGTGTGTGCCTGTGTTTGGAAAAATTATCCGTTAGAAACGTTGCCTCGGGTACACTACATAGAGGTTTTTTCTTTGTACCCGTAATTAAAATCGAGAAATAGTTTCCTAAAAATGACGAAATTTTTAACAACAAATAAGGAACAGGAAAGAGTTATTAAAGGAAAACATGAAAAAACGAGTACTACTCGAAGGTACATCTACAAGGTGTGAATGTTGAATGGAACAATCAATGAAACATATCATGCAAAGTCCAATCTGTCGTTATTCGTGTACATAATATGATGTCATTAATGCAAATGACAACGCCAAAGACGTAGCTAATTTTAGGGCTGGAACCATATGAACCAGAAAACGACAGTTAGTTGACTTTAAACCATTTTTTATTTTATCTATCTGTTTGTATATTTTATGTTTAAATATTGTATCTATATAATGGTGTGCCTGACATGAAAAAAAAATTATTACTCATTATCAGGGCTCATAATGTATAGCTTTAAAAATTATAGTTTTAAGCGCTATAATATGCTCATAAAAATATTCATATAAGTTCACTAAAAATAAAAAAATATACGAGAAAAAAATATTATGTAAAAAAAAATGTTTAACTTATTATTAATATATCGATCGCGTCTATATGATACAAATAAATATAATAATTTTTTTCTACTACTATAGAACTTATTATTATTAAGAAAAAAATATTTTAAATGCGACGGAACTGAAAAAAACTTAAAAAAGCAAAATAGCAAATAACAAATTTCTTAATAAGCAAAAATAAGACAGCAAAATAGCTTTTATATTTTGAAATATGTAACATAAAATTTCATATTTATCTTCTTAGTTATCTGAAACAGATTTATAACTCACATAGGTATTTCTAGGAACTTTCAAAAAAAAATATGTAAATGCTATAAGTCATGAGCCCTGCTTTTAAACTTAAATGCGTATTATATTATTTTGACTGGTTCTGTGTCATATTTTATTATATAGTATTAAATAAGTACCTATTTATAAACAATTTTATATGAACTAGCCGCTAGCATTGTTGCTCGGCACAATTCGCGATTATCTTTATGGTTTCCAGTAAAAGATAAAGTTCTCCAAAAACGTATATACAATAATAATTATTGTCAGTGATAAAAATGATTTGCTTGTGACGAGTGATGACAATGTGTAAAATAACGTTGACTGTACATATTTTTACTGTACATTTGTACATGCAATTTAAAAAATTGCTTTTTAACTATTCGTCAACGAATTGTTAAAGACGACGATCATGACGTGCTTTGCATACTTTTTAGTATATCTACACGTCATTTGCATCATTTGGTGAGTGTTTTTTTTTTATTTTAAATAATTATACAATTATTGTTATTATTAAGTAGGTAAATCATTTCAATGCAATGGAAAATTAAAAATAATTCCCGGTGTCTGATTTTAGATTTTTAATATACATAACCTACGTATAAATTCATTGATAAAATATCAAGACTATTAACGAAGCGGATTCTTAATATTCAATGTACAAAGCTTTAAAATTAATACATTATTTTTAAAGTTCTGTGTGACTATTGCATTAATTTGTATCTGGCTCAAAACTGATTTGGTGTGTGCTAAAACGTTGTCTTATTGTGGTTTATTGCTATATATTGTTTTTACCATTTCATCAATATTATTGTTTTTTAAAAATGTATTATTTTCATAGATTGTGTTCAGTGGCGTGAATAGAAAAAAATTTCAAGAGGAGTTCAAGCTCCCAGCAATTTTTTTTTTAAATTAAATGTCGTAATTCGAATATAATTCCTATTCCTGTAATTCGGTTCAAAGTACAGTGCATGAGTTTATACATATCATAACATACTTCGTCATCATTGTTCGACCACCGTCGTTGTTTATCAAAGTCGGCGGCTGCCGCTTTGTATACAGATGATTATAAAAACAAAACCTTATTACCCGTTGTGTATTCAATTATATTTTACTAGCTGAATTACCCGTCGTTGCCGGGTTTAAGTATAAAAAACTAGGTAACCAAACAACATTAAATTTTGTTTAATCTATTGAAATTTAAATTAATTATGATAATTGAAATAATATTTTATTTATACATATTAATTTAGTTTTTAAGATAATAATTATTATCATAACCCATCGGTTCCCAAAATGTGCACCACAGGGGCGCCGCGCCGTCATGAAATACTATCGGGTATAAAATTTTCCTTATGATTAGTCATGCTATGGCTTGGAGAAGGGCGCCCTGAAAAAATCTTAGATCAAAAAAGGCACCGTGTATCGAAAAAATTTAGGAAGCACTGTGACACAACCTATTATATAAGTTATAGTTTTTAGCGACCGTAGCTTTGTTGGCGATAAATCTTAACGGTGAAGGTTTAAATTAAATGTTTCACTAATAGTTTTTCAGAATGTTTTCTAAAAAATTTCTCAATAAACAATATTCTTCGCTGATCTATTAGTAGGCGACAAAATAACCAAGCTACTGGGTGAGCTTACGTGTGAGCAAGCTACATAGAACTGCCCATGTGAAAAACGGTTATCTCACAAATCTATTCCTGCAAATTTGAGAGTTTGGACTTGAGACTTGAGAATCGTTTAAATTCGAACAGAAGATCATTCGGAATCAAAGGGATTCGTGGTACAAACACAGTTTCTCCTTTTGCACGTTCAGTTAAAACTGTGGCTTCTACTATATTGCGATGTAAAGTTTTGACTTTAAGCCTGGTCCCATTGCACAGTTTAGGTGGTTTCAAATTTCGCAATAACATAATTGGTGTGCCCACACGCAGAATAAGCCTATGATGTGGCATACTCGGTGGTTTCAATGAATTTAAAAATTCAACCGGATAATTAGTTGCATCGTCTATGTTGACCACCGCCGTATCTATCGAAGTATATTGTTTTTCTTGCCATTCAAAATACGTCAGCAGTGTATCATTGATAGCCGCCAATTGGTCATTTTTTGGAGTGAGTATAGCACGTGCACATAACCATTCCATAGGCTTATCATGAATATGAGCAATATCTGGATGAATTTTTGATATTAAATCGTGAACCGTAGTTACAACTGTGCACACATTTTCTGGGATAGTTATTATTTCATTAACTGGTGGATAATCACCATTGCCAATTTCAAGTTAAAGATCTGAAAATCTACCAGAAAAATTTTCCTCTTCCAAGTATACCCTCATATTTTTCGACAGTTTGAGTAAGTATATAAATATGAGGCCACAAAGTAGATCTTATATGACTTATATATTATATATTATCTTATTATCTTATATGACATGACTTTATTAACTTCATCAGTTCTGGTCTCTTTTTGGTACTACTAGTGAAGTCTGCCAAAAGTCTCCAGCCCGTAAGACCGTTACACCACACATTACCCTTTTATTTCCCTTTATATCCTGTAGATATCTATTTAAAGCCTCAACACCACCCTTATGTTCCATTGTAATTTCGTCCCGCACTATAATTTTTGTATTTTTTAAAACTTCCGCGAAATTACTATGTTTTAATATATTACAAACGGGAGTGACCGAAGTTGTTAGGTTTAGTGTTAGTTTGAAGGTAGCATGGGCGAACTGATCACCCTCGAGCAGTGTAACTGCGATTCCAGAAGATGCTACAACTAAGGCAATGTGGCGAGTACTTCTAACTTTCGCTAAATCAAATTGATTAAGAAAGTTTTTCTTTTTATTCTCATTTTTACACTTTTTAACCCTTTAACTTAACTCACTTGAGGTTGAATTTTAAAAAATCCATTCTCAATGGATGTCTACATTGTGAAACAAAACATTTATATGCATATATAAACAATACGTTTCATTCTCATAGCTTCAGCGGTTTTGGCTAGGTGATTTTTCCATATTTACACTTTTTAACCTTTTTAACGCTCTTAGGCGTTGAATTTTGAAAAATCCTTTCTTACAGATGTCTACATCATGCAACGAATCTACTGACCAAATTTCATACTCATAGATTCAACGGTTCCGGCTTGGCGGTATTTTCTATGTTTACACTTTTCAACACTTTAGGGGTTGAAATTCAAAAAATAAAGTTTATAGACAATGTTTATTTGTTTTACACAGTATGTATACTTAATTTTAAAAAATCAGAACAAAAAAAAAACGTTTTAAATTTTTATCTATTTTACCCTTTTTAACCACCTTAAGGGTTGAATTTCCAAAAATCCTTTCTTAGCGCACTCCTACATCATAATAGCTATCTTTATACCAAATTTCAATCCAATCCGTCCAGTGGTTTGAGCTGTGCGTTGATAGATCAGTCAATCAGCTTACTGTTTTATATATACAGATAAACTATAATATTATAGATCATGTCAAATCGCACTGTCAAATCGCTACGTATAAAAAGTCGAACACGTTGGCATACCACAACGCTCCTCGTGGAAAAGACACATGCGTAGTAAAAACCAGTTTTCGTCCAAACGACTGGGCATTCTTAACCTGAATAGTCTATAGGTACTTGAGATATAACTATGAAACTCTTTTTGATTATAAAACATGTACTACCTATTTAGTTATAACTTATCATTGATTTATTATTAAATTAATTTTTTTCTAGATGAAATACATGCTTTTTCATTACGTAACTCTAAGTATTTTTAAATACCTGAATGTCTAAAGCAGTGGCAGATTTAACGGGAAAAAAAATGAACATTTGCCGTCTGGGCCGTATTATGCCTAACCTACCCGTAAAGACCCCCGGGCCCTAGACCCAGTCTTCAGTTCACTAATTTTTGTTTCAACAAAAAAATTAAAATAGAACAGAAATGGACCACGATTTTGAATATTCTTTTCGATACTGTAAAAGATTGTCCGGTTTAGGCGTGGTCATCGAGAAAATTTACAAAATTATAAATATCCTGGAATTTACTTGGCTATCATTAAATTAATTTCCCATCATAAATGTTCAAAAGTTTGAGTAAAACTTGTTGGGCGGCACGTTTAAAAGCTGTGAAAGCCTTAATTCAAAATTTCGAGTGCATTATAGACTGCCTAGAAAATGAGATATCAAGAGTTGGAACATCTGGAGATGATATTATGGCTGTTTAGACATTACTATCATCAAATAATTGGTTATTTCTTTTTTTAATTTGTTATGGTGGCGTTCAATGCTTGATATATCAAACAATTAATAATTTAAATCATTTAAATGATTTTTTTTTTTTTTTATTTATCAATTCTGGGCAACTACAACTACAAAAAAAAAAGAAGAAGTTGGTTTGATAATGGCTCAAAATTGTATTTCAACAGCATTAACAAAATTAAAAAATCCCAGAAATGAAAAATCTTACAATAATTTCATGGCAAAAGCAAATTGGAAAAAAATGGGTTTAGATCATGCTGACTTTCCAACAGTGAGAAATCGGCGAATTAAGAAAATAACTGGTAAAAAAGCTACTGATTCTTCTTTGAAAAAGTTTGGTGAACATAGTTATTATGAAGTTTTTGATACAATGTGCAGTAATATGAATATTTTGTATTTTTGATGCCTGAAAATTTACAAAAGCTCATAGAAGGTGATTAAGATATCAGTGTTGGTATTTTGATTGAGAAATACGCTGATTTCTTTACAATTGATCTGAAATATAAGTTAATTAGTTTTATTGATTTATATTTTTCTTAGAATAACGATTTTATTAACAACAGTCCATTGAATAACTTAAAATGTATCATTGATAAATATTTGATAGACAGTTATCCAGAGTTTAGCAATTTTTTTAGATTATTTCTTACACTCTTTGTTAGTACGGCAAGTACTGAATAAGTAATGAGTTCTTTAAAATGAATTAAAAAAAAAACATCGTTGTGCCACTTTAAGTGAAAAAACCTTAAATAAATTCAGTATATTTTTATCGAAAGATCGGTGGCAAATAAAAAAAATCTAGACACAACTATTGAAATATTTGCTGAAGCCAGAAGATAATTTACAAATACTTGAATTACCGAATTACATTAGTAAGATACTAGTTTAACAATATAAATTTTTTTGGTTTAAATTTAATGATAATTTTGATAAGGTTATTTAGAAATAATATATCCAGTTTGGACGATTTAAATAAATGTGTGTATATATATTTTTTTTTTTTTTGGTTCAATACCTATCTAGTTTAACAGTATTTTAAGAGGGAAGTTACGAGTTAGTTTTTACGACGGTTCATAATTCTTGGGCCATTTATATCGTATGTCGCCTGGGCTTTTTTCCTTAAATCCTCCACTGGTCTAAAGTTTTCTAACAAAATATTTGTGTAGATTGAATTGTTAATTGTTATTATTAATTAAAGTGCGGATTTATATGCATTAAAAACCAACAAAATATGCGCTAAAAATCTTTAACTTGCACAATTATATGCACTAATGTGTTAAAATATGCACTAAAAAATAAAATATGCAATTAAAAACATGAAATAAGCCCTTAAAATAAAAATGAATGGGTAAATATCGAAATATGCAAAAATATACTTTAAAAAAATTTGATTGTTTAAATGGTTATATCATAAAACAAATGTTGTGCTAACTTAACATATTAGCAACATGTTAGCATATCAAACGACTAATCAGAATATTTATATGCATATACATCCGCGCTCTACTTGTTAATATAGGCTCCTAGTCTAAAATGATTTTGCCTCGGGCACAAAATTATCCAAGCTTGCATTTAAACAACGATTATAAATAAAAATACACAATTCATACGCATCAATATGTGAAATTTGTAAAATTCGTAAAATATGTATATTAAATCACAGAGTATAAGACCAATCATATATAGCCAAAAGACACATCTCCCATGACCACATTCAGTACTCATTTAAGAAAAGCAGTTAGCTCGCCTTCCATTAACTAAAATCATTGCCTAGGAAAGGATATCCTTTAGCACTACGCTGAGTGTAAATAAGTAAAATTTCCTACAACCAATTCACTTTTTAGTCATTATTGTTTCTCTTCTTGTTTAGATTGTTAATCCCGGCGGCCTAGTCCAACCCTGACCGCGGCTTAACTTCGCTTTACTACTTCCATATTTTTATATAAAATTATTCATTTTCTGACAATATGTTAAATAAGCGAAAATTGAGATTTTAAAAAAAATTTTGATTAGTAATATCTATAACCAGTTGTTTTATACTTATTTTAAAACAAGACATGTTGTATATCAGAGGGGGCACTGCCTCTCCTGTTTTATTCTAGGGGCAGTGGCCCCCTTGCCCTCGTTTACGCCTATGCCATCAATACCCCAGCGTTTCAACTGATTGCTCCAGCAAATTCTTACTCGTTTCTGTTAAATTACTGTTTTATGGCATAGATCAGCCATATTTTGGTAGGGAAGAACTAATTTTTTTTTAAAAATCTACAAAACCATGATGTCCAAAGAATCGCATAGATTTGAAAAATTTTTTATCGTACACAAAACTTTTATACATAAAAGAAAAAAGCTCTATGTTAAAGAGTATCCTATAAATGCAAACTTGCATAATATATTTATTTGAGCTGTAAAAAACTATAAAAATTCCACACAATATTCGTACACTTCAGTTTTTATAATAACCTTAGACATAGTTTTGAAGTTCATTACCTTACCACTTATTAATTTTATAATACAATTATTCCTCTAATAATGCGTGGAGCAACTACATTGAATAAATGTGTATTGCCGCCGCAAAACGTATCAGTTTTACACCACTAATTTCTCTAAGGTTCAGTATTTACTCTTACCAAATTAATTCTCTATACTAATCTTTTTTGGTTCATGCATCCCCAAAACAAAAAATAATTAATCGTGCCTCCCGTGTTTTCATAAAACAACATTTTCTTATTGTTTTAATAAAAGCAAATTACTGTCAATCTAAAAATAAATATATGATAGTGAAATATACAATATAACTATTTGCCTTGCGCCTCACAGTTTGGAAATCATATACTATGATTAACAACAATATACTATACTAACAATAGTTAGCACTAATATACTAACAATATACATATATTAAGATTGTTTATCATTCTTTGGTGGTCATTTGATATCATGAAAAAAAATTTAGCTGTCAGACATGGATACAAGGGGGGTAGCGATGCCCCCCCCCAAATGTCATGACGAAACAAAACGAAAAAAAAATTATTATATTATACGTCAACAGTGCTTGACTTGGCAAAATTAAATAAGGGGGACTCAATTTACTTAAAAAAAAAAAAAAAGCGTCCCCAAAACTTGTTTAAGCATTATAATTATTACGTAATAGTAGGGGACGCTAAAATTTCTGAAAATTAGTTGGGGTACTCCGTCCCCCCTCAAGTCAAGCACTGTATGCAGTGTCGGTCTGGCTCATGATTGGGACTCCGGTTAAAAATTTACAAAAGGCCCCTAAACTACATAATATAGATATACATAATAGAAGTAAGATTCAATAAATACTTACTAAAATTTTGTTTATCGTTACGCTCGAAATCTAAAAAACTAAATAAACTAAATATTTATTTATTTTTTATTTAATTTGCCTTTATCGTTAACATTACAACAAAAATGAATATTTGTTTTTATATTTTTCCAAAGTCAATATTATCGAATTATCAGTGTGTTCGTGTATGTGACCATTAACAACTTTTATCTCAATTTTTCAAAGTATTTATATTTGTTCGATTTTGATCAAGAGAACAAAAATGTATAAACTATAACAGCTATACTTAGCTCTATAAATTACATAAAAAATATTCCAAGATTAAGATAAGAATAACATTATTTTAATTTAATTCAAGAAAATAATTACTATGATTTTTCATGTTAGCATGGTTGCTTTAAGTCCGGGAGCGGATTTAGCAATGTTCAGGAGATCAACTAATGCACAACAATTAATATTTGTTAAGAAAATTGGCCTTTTGAAGACATATTTTTTAAGTGTGCCGACTATAAGTTGAAGTTTAAACTGACAAATAACCCAGTTTCTACCCCCTCCCCCCTCAAATGATACTATTTGTTTTTATTGTATAGTAAAATAAAATCTCTATGCCAGACCCCATAAGAGATTTCATAAAATAAAATAAATGTTTACTATTATAATTATGAATAAACTTAAAAAATATATATTATATAATCATATTGTTATTTTTTTGTTTCAAGGAATACATTTATAATCCACTTTCAACTCTAAAAAGTTGCCTCTTGAAATAGCTTGACCTACAGTTCTCTAACTGTGGATTCGCCGCTGATTGGGTCCCTATTTTGAAAAAAAATCTCAGAGAATTGCTGAGAATTCGAGTGGGCCAGACCAACCCTGACTGATAACAATTATATTTTGTCTATAGTAACTATTTACTGACACGTTATCAAAAACCAAAAGAAAATTAGATTTCGCTCTATAATTTTTTATTTAATATTTTTTTTATTATTCTTAAATAAAAAGTTTTCTTTTATTTCTTTTTTTTTAAACTTTTAGTTAAAAATGTATTCCTTTAGTGTTAAAAAATATTCATACATCAATACTTATAATATTATAGAACTATTGAATTTTATATATTATATTATATCCACAATATAAAATGACCCCTTCCCTAATAATTTCTCTGGATCCTTTCCTGATAGCTGTAACCAATGCCAGTCATATGAAGAGGGAGAGCGTACTGATTGCATTGTGCTCCTGCATACTTTTTCACGAATATCACTTATCTAAATAATATTATAATAAAATTGCCGAAAAATGATAATTTATTGAATATAAATATCAATAAATATTTATTTATTGTTAATCAAGACTATACCAAAAACCTTAAAGTTTATAAAAATATATAAAAATAAAGTAAATAAAATAAATATGTGAGCATCCAGAAAATCCATTGAGCTGGCACTGGCTGTAAGTCTGCAATGCCCCATGGCACAGACTTAAAATTTACAAACAAGTGATATACATACATGTTTTTTCACAAATGTTTGGACATTATATACTACTTAACCCGCAAAACATTTAACGGTTATTGATGTGAATAATATCATTCTATTAAAGGTGCACACCCTCTGACTATTCTATCGACCAGCTTTTTAATATTTGTAACTACAATCAAATACTACAGCAAAAGTATAAGATACTATAGTACTAATTATGATTCCTCCAAATAAAATTTTCAGATTAATAAGCAAATACAATATTAAAATATTTAACAAATAAGGATCGCTAGAGAGCTGTATGTCTGTATTCTACGTTTTAAATTAAATAGTATATGAGAAAAACCACTGATATTTGCATCATTCATTAATAACAAACCATATGTTTTTCAAACACGAAAAAAAAAGTTGGAAACATTATGGTGAAATATATTTAGGTAAAAAACAATGTAAACGGGTGTAGGTGTTTATTTATATTAGCAGAAAAATAAATGTTACATTGCAGTTTTAATTTAAATAGAATACATAATACAGAAAATAGGTTTAACATATTATTGCACTTAATATTTTTGATTAGGAAGAAATCAAATTAAATTACAAATTTTACTAATAATTTATAATTAGTAACCAAGGATAAAAAAAAACAATACTTTTCTATTAAATAAAAATTATTAAGATAATACATAATATACCATTAATCGTTACCTACACCCTAATTAGTTAATAATTTAATATATACTTAAGATATACCAAAGCAAGATGTTTATAATACTTTTTAAGTTTATGTGTCTTACAATTTATTCTAAATTTACATAAAAATAATCTTATATACTTTTAATTCATTTATTATATTTATTTTAATTTTAAATATGTATTTAAAAGTAATGATAATGTTTTCATTATTTATTTAGTATTTGTTAGTAATTTATCGGTTATAATTTTGAATAAAAATTAAGATAAACATATAATTTGTAAATATAACAATTAAAATCATAATATAATATGTATCAATTTACTCATTTTTAACTAGTCTACGGTTGAGTAGTGTTTGTTCATAGTAAGAAAATGAATAAATATTCACCAAGTTAACTATTGTATCACACAATGGTTATACAAAAAAAAAATATCACTGACAAAGTAACAAGGTGCATAATAATTTCATTAAATTTGTTATTATAATATATTTAAGTACTTTATTGCACAACCAATAATACTAGTGAAAAATACAGTTTTTTTTTTTTTTTTTTTTTAAATAAAAATTCATGAGGAAACCCTACTTGGACGGTATCAAATATAAAAATGGAAACATAGATTGGGGCAAGAAAATGGCTGTTCGAATGTTAAGAAGACAGCAAGCAAGTGCATTGGGAGGAAATATGGAGTGAAAGGAGGAAATGTTTGAAATGGTATTGATTTATCAAGCTGCCAGAACTCAACTAAACATATATTATTGATTCAAATGGCACATTAAAAATGCGAATTTTAGCCTTTTTTTTACATTATTTACAGTCTTCTCCAATTTATATATATATATAAATATACATATAATTGTTGTGTATGAAAACTAAATTAGAGGAAAGAGTGGGGATGATGCTACTTAAAATAATAGTAAAATGATATAACTGTGAATATTTATATAAAAAAAAAAATAATAATAATAATAATAAACGGTTGCACAGAAACAGTTAAACAGTGTCAAGATTTTAGTACATTTCATACTTATATACATTGTAAAGTATAAATGATATAAGTGCAAACAAATAACAGTATAAGATATTTTGAACTTAAGGACAGCAAAAAAGTCTGATGATTGACCTCCAAAAATGCCCCACTCTTTAACTTATTTAAAAATTTGTATGTCTAAGAACAAAGTTTGAATAGTCTAAGCGCGTTAGTCAAGCGTTTTTGAAAGATATGCAAAAAAAGAGTGATTTTTGTTTAGTATTAAAAATAGAATCACCATATAACCTTTTTTAAGGTTTGGTGTTGCAAGTCGTTTTTAGTGCGTATGATTTTTTTTGATAGTAAAATACAACTTAGATGGACATGGTAGAATGATCCCATTCCAAACGAGGTGCACAACCTCTGTGCAAGCCATCATCTTCTTCGTTACCACCACCATCATCTGAACTATCATCATAATCATAACTCATATTATCGTCAGAAGAATCATCATCATTATCAGCATGCCTATGTTTGCCAACTGACAGCGCTCCACCAGCTTGTGCACTACTATCACATTCCAATTGCTAGAAGTAGCATTAAACAATTTTAATAAATATGTAACATAGTTGAAGTACAATAATAATTAAGGAGCTTAATATAATTTACCTCCATAGGGTTGATGGTAATGTTAAGAGCAGAATCATCCCAAGCCATCTCAGTGTCCTGAACTTCATCTTGTGAAGCTTTTTGATGAGCAGCTTTAATACGTACAATACCTAATGTTATCATTAACACCAAGAATCCAACACACACAACAATGATAATGGTAACAGCATGTCCACCACTAGCAACAATAGCCTGTGCACGTTCATCAATAGATCCCTCAAAATCACTAACTATTGTTTTAGACTGTTTAGTTTCTACAGAATGTTGAACCACTTGAGCGTGAGCTGGTTGGGGTTCAGCTTCATTTTCATCTATTAACAAAGCAGCTGGGGGAGCTGTAGTTGGAAGTGTAGTAGTAATGTCAGCAACAGTTGGAGATTTTGGATGAACTACAGTCAACTGAAAATATAAAAAGAGTTATTGATTTCTTGCAAAATCAAAAAAAATAATGTTTTTTAATTTAAGTGATTTACAGTTTGTAAGTATTCGTTACTCAAAAATCTTCCATTCATTTCAGAGCACACCAATTTAAACTGACGATTTAAGTAGTACGCAGGTTTGAAATTAGTATATAGTACATCACGCAAAATTTCTTGATAATGAAATACAATATCTGCATTGTTGAAAGCTACACCGTCTTTGGATACCTTTGCAGAAATTCCAAATTTAGCCAATACATGAGCAGGAATTGTAAGTTTCTCGTGGTCAGGATTTAATGAAGGATAAACAGAGATAACACATGAATCAATACGACGTTCTAACACATTTGTCAATTCAGCTATAAAACAAAAAGAGTAAGCATTAAATATAATCATTGCAAGTATAAATCAAATCAATACTTACGATGTTTAGTTTCATAATCATAACTTTCTGGTTCTATATTAATAGCAATATCAGGGAAAATTTGTACACCTTGTCTAAATTCGTGGTATTCTCTAGGGATTGTGTTTATACCACTAATAATAATATTAGGCTGTTGAGGTCTGTGAACCATTACATAACTTTCTGTGGAAGGCATCTTAACTTCACGACCATCATCACAACTTTAATAAGACAATTACAAATAAGTAGAAAGAAGTAACAAACTAAATGCTAAAATATTAAACTATAGTCAATGCTATAACATACATAAGGGAAGTAGTTAAGTGAAGATTACGTCTTCCAGGAGTTGGGTAGTCACGGCTGTTTGAGTAACCAATTTTTCTTACTAATACTTCCAAATTTGTCTTATTATCACCCTCAATAGACAACTCTGTCAATTCTTAAGAGGTAAAAATAAGGAAAAATTATGTTACATATTTATTTTCCATAAAATTATATGTATTTGCAATGATTAAAACTTACCACTATTTGTAAGTAGTTCCATTCCAGGTTCTAACAACTCCATTGCAGGTACTTCTAAACTTTCTTTACACTTATGTAAACATGCCAATACTTCAGGTTTCTCTAATTGATGTAAAAGTACTGATAAGCCAGCCAAGTAACCTCTGAGATGATGTTTCATTTTATTTTCTGAACCTACAGTAAATAAAAATATAATAATACTGCAAGTTTTATAATCTTAAAATAAAAGCATAATATTCACATACCTTGCCAACATGCTCCAACAGTTAAAGTAGTATTAATACCCTTTGTTGGGTGTAAAGGCCAATCATCAATAACTTCTGGATTTTTAGTTTCAGATTTAAAAAGTACACCATCAATGTACAACTGTACATTAGGGAATTGGACAGACACAGCATAGTGATGCCATTCATTATCACATACCTAAATTATAATTTATGAAAATGTTTACCGTTTATGTAGTTATATTTATATAGTTTATATTTATTTACTACCTGTGGAATTTTCCATCTCCATTCAGCTGGTCTAAAGATATTAAGATCTCCTTGTGAAAAATCACGCCTTAAAAGTAAAATTAAACGACAATTGCGAACAAACCAAGCATAATGATGACGATTCATTTCTAATAAAAAATAAATTGAATGACAATTAATTTTCAGATTCAATGGCATTAATTATTAAAATCATAACATACTATGATCATCAGCAGAACACAAAATATGTTCCTTAATATGTTTATCTTGGTGTGACATAGGCTTATGTTTCATCCAAGTTGATATAGTAAATGCTGATGATAGACCATGATCAAGAAAATCATTAGGTATAGCAACAGCTGTGCTACTTCCATCAAATTCATACATTTGATCAGATTCTCGACCTTCATCATGTTTAATTGCATTACCAGCAGATAAAGGTACATGGTTAGCTGGTAAAAGTTCAACACTTTCTTCACTTGCCCCTGTATAATAATGTTAGTTTAAATAATAAAAATAAACAATATTTCTAATATAATAACAATTTAAATTGTTAGTAACCTTAACAATATTATCCTTCAAAATACTAAATTACTAATTACTAGATAGATTCCTTAACTTATAACATTTTATAGTTAATGGTTATGTCCAATCTTTTATCAAAGAAGTTGCTGTATGAAACTTTTGACCTTAATTTACTAAAAAAAACTTTATAGTACAAAAAGTAAAAATATGAGAATTTTTTTTTTTTCTTAATCTTATAAATCATTGAATAACTAATATTCAATATTTGGTTTGAAATACAACCAAGCATAAATACAAGTAAATACATACATAAACATAAATACACAAAGAATATATAAACTATATCCACTCATGTATTTTATTTATACATACTTTAACATTATTTCTATAAGAACACATGTTTATGCAATTAAGTAAATATGGAATAGAGACATCATCATATAATAAAACCACTATAAAGAACAAAAATTAAACTTATAAAATTATTGCAAATCGATCACTTAAATCTATATTATTATAAAAATAAAACATGTGTATACAAAAACATTACAGGTGTTAAATCAACATAAGATAAGCTATAGCTAGGTAAGCATAAAGGTAATACTATAATTTAATATTATAGTAAATCATATGCAATTACTAGGTAACATAAATAAAGTTAAAGTACTTACCACATAATTTTCTCTGACTTTGAACTGAATATGTATCACGATCACAACCTTTTCCAATATGTGATGTTGCTAGTGTAAGCTTAGCATTAACACTTTTTACATGACATGGATCATCACATAATCTTAGTTGAGCATTGGGGAACAAATCTTTACGACCAGAAGTTGGAGAGTAATCAATTTCTTCGGGAACACCTGGAAAATATTTACTTAGAGATTGATTGACTTAAAATTAAAATTAACACACCTTTCCAACCCAATTTGCAAATACGATTAATTTTAATTGTAACCATTGCAGGAGTAGACTGTTTCATACCACAGTCATAGGCGACAACTGATAATATGTAGTTATGACTATGATCATAATCTAATGGCTCTGTATTTCTAATACTTCCTAAAAAATAATCATAAAAATAATTATTTGCAAATGACATATTTGTTAGAAATATAATTAAAAAAATTAGAATTTAATTAATTACAATAGTAAATACCTTCATTATCAATAGTGAAAGGTTGATTATCATCAAGTATGTCGTACTTGCAGATATCACCAAACCGTGGAGTACAGTCACGATCAGTAGCTTCTACTCTTATTATTTCTTCATATAATCGCCCTTCATCAACTTCTTTAACATAAGATGCTTCCAAGAATTGAGGAGCGTATTCATTTATATCAACCACAGTAATATGGACAGTAACACTACAATATTATTAAAAGTTTAGATTAAAGTATTTATAAATATTTAAAATAATATAATATTTATAACTTACTTATCAGATATAATACCAGAGCACGAAACTGCAGCAATTTCAAATTTATACGTCTTGCGTTTTTCACAATTTAAAGTTTTATGAGCCCGGAGTTCAGCATAACCATTTGAACGAAGAATTATCTAAAAAAATTAATTTTAAATTAATTACCTGTTATTAATTTATACCTTAAAGAAAAACAACATTAAATAAATTGCATATCAATTAAAAGATAAATTATGATCACCTACTTCACAAATAATTAAAAAGGTATTAAAATTATAAGTTTAATAAAATCTTAAATGTGCATAACTATCTTAGTTTTACACATTTTATTAGTCAACTATAAGTCATTTTTGTCTCATTTTTTGGATTACATGAAATAAAATGTCCATTTATAAATATTAAAATTAAAAATACTGACAGAAAATATCTTGTTGTAACATTAATATAGATTAATTATGTCAATTTGATACTATAAGATGTAAACAGTAAAAACATTTTGTCCAATTATATATAATCAATTATCTAGGTTTTTATTATTTATTTATATTATAATGTTATTAATTATTTACAGCAGGGGTCAGCAATCTTTTTAACAATGCAGGCCATATTTTTTTTCAATTTTTCATCAAGGGCCGCATTAATAAAAAAAAAAAATTATACATATGATGTAATACTAATAATTGTATTTCTATTATATTTAGTTATTTTACATGGAAAATTTAAAACACCATGAAATATATTAGGAGGGCTGCAGAAAAAAGTTCCGAGGGCTGCGGGTTGCCGGTGCCTGATTTACAGTATTATTTACTATCATACTTTAATATAAATAATTGACCAACTAATGTTGAAATTATTTATTAAATATAATATTTAACTAAATATAATATAAACTAATATATAAGATTGTTCTATTGTATATTTTATTTATTAGAAATTCTATTAATTTAAACTTCATTGCAACTATGTTATTTTGATGTTAAAATAATTATACTTACTTCAAAAGGTGCTTCACCGTGATGTTTATTGACAATGTTAAAATTACAAACATCACCAATAGCATAAATTTCTGGAACAACTTCAACTAGTGTTTCATTTTCTTTAACTAAACCATGATATCCACTGACTACATCATCAATCACCAGTTTGGGTGTAATTTCTAAAAAAAAAAAAAAAAGTTATGACTTAAACTTTAAACAATGAATAATACAACAAATTAAGAGTCCAATATAAAATTATAAATATAAAACTATACCTAAAATAAATGGTGCATAAACATTTTCTTAAATATCCAAAAAAAAAAAAAAATATAAAACATTGACTCGAAATTCACTAGAAAATTGCTAAAAATGTATTTTCTAAATTTTACCAAAAAAATATTACAAGCTCATAAAATCTACTTAAATGATTTTTTTGATAAATATCATAAACTAATACGCTCTTGAACATTTATTTTGATGAACCATTAAGTTATATATTCCATAAGACATAAATATGTGCAATATTATTTTTAAATAACCGTATACCATTAAATAATTATTATAAGTTATGATATAATGACAAAGTAAAATAATAATTTTTAAAGATATTCAATACAATATTACAGTAAAAAAATATTAATTTCTTAAAATAAACAATTGAAAAAATGTTTCTGCTAATAATTCAAATAAGTAACTCATTATGTATCTTTCAAAAATTGGTTTTTAATCAATGGTTATAATTTAAATAATTACCTTTAATGTTTATTAATAAGATTCAGAATTTTAAAATGGAATTTTATTATTTTTATATATTAAGGGTTAAATAAAAGAAATTCCAGTAGGATTCCAGAGAATTCCCAATTTTTCTAATGTATTATGAAAATATAATGATGTAGTAATGATAGAATTTGAAAAAAGACACAAATTATGAAAATCATATGTTGATTTACAAATTATAACTTAAGATTTAATTAGTTTATATTAAAATAATATTTTTATTTATAATATTTAGTGAACATTTAAATGTATAATATTCAGTAGTAAAATATTCAAAGAATGATTAACTATATAAAGTATAATGTTCCTCAAACAGAATATCAGTAAACCTAACAATTTATGACAATATTGCTTATGTGGTACTTTTGAGCATAATGACATATTGATTACTTACTTTATTAAGTTTTTGTTTAAGAACAAAACTATATTTTTTATTATCAAATGGTAAAATAAATTAAATCCTGAATATTTTCTTAATTATTAAAAGAAATAAGCAATACAATTTATCACACAAAACATTAGTTAAGTATAAATAAATCTGTTAATTATTTTTTTATAATCTAATTACAATCTAAGCAGGAATAAAATACAGAATAAACATCCATTGGTATTTAAATTCTTAAATAAAATTTCATTAAAAAACCCTTTAAAATATAAATTCTTTATAAAAAATAAAAATATTATGCTCTAATATTTTATTATGAATAAATAACCAATTTTTGTACAATTAATTTTATATAGATAATAATCAGGATAGTAGGAATATATTAGCATTTTGATAAAAAATAATTATTTTGTGAGGTAAAATTGAATTGCTATATTAACAAATAACTACTAAAAATTATTTATTCCAAACGAACAATACAAATTTTTAAAAATTAAACATTAGCTAAATGATAATGAATAGAATTATTTTTATTGTTTTTGGTTTACAGTATTAGTTTGTACAATATATACAACAAACAGCACAATATAAACTACAAACAAATAAATGTCATACTAGTTAGAGTAATGACAATGGTCTAAATGTTTAATGAAAAAAATCTGTAAAAATAGAAATCCTAAAATTAACATAAATAATGATTTATCTATTTATTATACATTGGTATATATAAATATATATATAGAAAATAATTTTAAAAAGAATATTTAATGCTTTTTAACTATGCATACAAGGTCAAGTAACAGATATTTTCAAAATATAATATCAGCTTATCTCTTAGAGCAGGGATGGGCAACTCAAAATTACTAGAGGGCCAATTTTTAGAAAATTTAAACCAGACCAGAGCATAGAAAAAAAAAGGTCATTCAAAATATAAATTTTGATTAGCATTTATATACACGGAAATAATAAATTCAACACACTCGATAATACGACATGAATAATACGAACAAACTGATATAGTTCAATAATGCGGTACAAACAGCTATGGTTGAAAGCTATACATATACATATATATATATATTTAGACATTTAACAATGTTTAATAATAGATAACAATTATTATATTGATAAGATAGAGTCTAGACAATAAACTTTAAAATTCAATAATATAATTTGAATAAATATAGCAGGCTGGAAGCCACCAGTTGCCCACCCCTATCTTAGAGTATAAAAAGATATTAGATACTTTCAAAATGTTATACTTAGTTTATAAAAATTAAAAATTTTAACTAAAATTATAAATAATATATTATAGTTATAAATTTATCCTTTATAATAAATAAAATAATGGTAATGAGTGCATTGAATTTTAAAAAAATTATAACTAATTTCTTAAGTAAAAAGATTCTGAGTAAAGCTTTAGTATTAAATATACAATTTAAATTGTATAATTGAATATTATAAATAATAAATTTTCAAGTCTTATAATTTAAAAATTATAACTTTCAAAAAATAATTAGGTACTTTCCTAAGTTCTATATTTAAACAAAAAAAAACTTAAATATTTTGAACATTTTTTCAAATATGAACAAATATCTGATATAAGGTTAAAGTTTCAAGTATCTAGCCATATTAATTTTGTAGTTATGATTACATGACTAAAATCTTAAAGTGAGTTACATTAAAAGCACATTTTTACAGTTTTTACTAGGTTTAATTGATAGTTTTTCCTAAAGGCTGGAAAAACTATTGAAATTTTGAAAAAAAAATACTATTTTAATGTACCACTACAGATCGATTTTGAATCTAAAAAGTTGCTAAATGAAATTTTTGGACCAGTATATTATTCAAAATATAAAATAAAATAATAAATATTATCATACCATAAGATTCTTTGATTTACTCACAATCTAAAATATGGGTAAAACTTATTTAAAAATTAACATAAAACTAGATATAAAGTAATGATATTTGTTTAAAAAAGAAAAAGTAAATATTTTTATAATACTTTTATATTTAAAAAAGATTTTTATACATATAATTGGTGGAATTTTGAAATTAATACAAGACAAAAATTAAAAAGTTGTATAAAGTATCAAAAAAATTATGCAATACTGAAATGAAAAGAAATAGAAGAAAAATTAGTAAAGAACACTTGCAAAGGTATATTAATGCAGTAAAACCTGTCTTATCCGGACTCTTGATAAGACGAAATCCTTTTCCGTGCGGAAGTTTATTATGGTCCCGGCAGATTTCTATAATTTAACATAGGATTAAACCCTTGATAAAACGAAACCTGTTTAACGTAAAACGGAAAGCTAGCTTTTCGTCTCGTAAACTATATAAACCTTAATAAAACGGGAAAAAAAATATCATAAAATTAACAAAAATACTTGTGATACCCATATTTATTTTGTTATCAAACATATATTAAGGTCAGCGTTTAAACACGTATCGATGGATAACTACATTTTATTTTGAATTTACATCAACAGTGCTCATTATTTTCTCCGTAGTCGTAATTTTCCTATCGTTTCGTCTCGTCTTACTTGTTCTCACAATGTCTGTAAAGATTTGTTTAAATGAAAACATTAAAGTTACTATAGAAGAAAGTGAAAAAGGAAATAGCGTTAAAGTATTAATGATTACTTTTAAATGTGGAAAAACACAAATTTATAAAATAATTAAAAACAAAGTTAAAATTTAAAGATTTTGGCAAAAGTAATCGAAGTTTAAAGAAAACTGTTAATGATTGGAAAGCTAGATCTAAGAACATTTCAATTAGTGATCTAATGCTTCAAGAAAACTTCAAGGACATCGCAATTAAATTGGGGAACAATAATTTCAAAGAATCCAATAGTTGGTTGAAATGTTTTTGAAAGATATATATTTTATGGATTCAAGTATGTTGAGAATCTAATGATGTCAATATTGACGACGTAAATGAATGGAAATCGAATATAGGTGAGATGATAAAATATCATGATAGTGATTGTATTTATAACTGTGATAAAACGAGCTTATTTTTTCGCGCTATTCCTTCAAAAACATTAAAATTAAAATGGGGAACAATGTAACAGTGGTAAACTTTCAAAAGTAAAAATAACAATTCTTCTTTGTGGAAACATGGCTGGTGAAATGGAAAAACCTTTAGTAATAGGAAAGACAGCAAAGCCTCAATATTTTAAAAATATTTATGTAGAAAAACTGCCTGTCTCACAAAGGCTTGGATGACTTGAAGTATCATGGAAGATTGGTTAATACAATTTAACAGTAAAATGTTAAAAAAGAAAAAACATATCATAATATTTTTGGATAATGCTGTGTGTCACCCAAAACTCAATTTATCAAAAATAAAATTTGCTTGGTTTCCTAATACAATTTTGGTTACATAGCCCATAGATCAAGGTATTATTTAATGTGTGAAATTATTCTATTGCCGGCCACTGATGCAATCACTTATTGCTAATATCGATAAAATATTAGCAGGGGCAGCTTGTCAGTGGAGACTTTGAGCTGCGTCTCCCCTTAAAAAAAACCGCTACTTATAAATAATAATAACAATTTAAAAATTTATAGAAATATTTTTTTTTTATTGAAAATATGTTATAGCATTTTCTATATTTATTATTGTAAGTATAAGGCCACAAAATATAAAACCTACAAAGTTATTTCGATAGAAACACTATTTTAGTAATTTCGACGACGGTCGCCGTTTCAGTGAAACTGACAGAATGGTTTGACTCGTTAGACAGAGGGGGCCAGGGAGAATAATCCGCGTATTATAGACGCTATTGAAACTGGGTTCACGACAATAATTTCCGTTGTCGTTAGCCACTGTACGCCGTCATCTGTAAAATTCGCAGATAACAAAAATTGCAGAGTTGAATTAGTTTAAAAAAAAATTTCAATTAAATTAGTTAAAAATATTAACTGAATATTAAATTAAGTATTAAGTATAATTAATTTTCCAATAAAAGGTGTTTTCTTGTTCGTTGTTGTATGGAGTTTATGTTA